CTAGAATACGGAGAGAAAAAAATTAGACCATCAATCAACAGGATTATTTTTTTTTTTTTTGCAGGTTCAAATTTACACCACTTATGCTGCGTGCCTTTACACGAAACACGTCTCAGGGCGCCGGCCATATCGCCGCCATTTTGAATTTTTTTTTATTAAAAAATTTATTTTCTACACTTTAATATATAATTAACACCATCCCCAAGTTTCATTCATTTACACCCCATCCTTCTGGTCTAAAAAAAATCGCGAACAAACGCTCCAAAAATAAGGGTTACAATCATTTATTTGGCACTGTAGTTGTAAAAGATAAACAAAGGGTTAAGTTCTTAAAACTTTAGTTATTGAAGCTCACAAAAGAAATGATAAGCTGAATCCTTAAATTACTTGTCAAGTTTTAAACGATTGGTTATATAAATTTTGCCATATGTCCATAGTAGGTATAAAAACCTCAAGATTTATTTCAAAATTTCGAATCCAATATTTTCTTTCAGCATTTGAAATCTTTGTGTACAACTTGTCAACCCATTTCATTGCCCATTTGATGGGTGGATGTCTCCATAATACATTGGCTTCAACTAAGATTTGTCAAAAAAGTTACGAGCCTTCTCTTCACTCATGGGCTCATGGGAATTTTCTTTTTTTTTTAACGCAGTCTGTTCAGCAAACAAAACATCTTACCAAAAATGGCGCCAAGTCAAACCGGATCCGAGTTCGTGTTAAATGACGTACATTTTCCTTGAATTATTCCAGCGTAAATAATTCAAGTGGTAATTCGTATTTTTGCCTTTGTCCGGAATGGGAGAACACTCTTTGTTGCTATTTGTTGTCGGTGGCTTGAGGTTTACGTGGGTTTGTCTTTTTGCCATTTGCCTTCTGTTTGTTGTGTGTGCCCCTCATCCCCTCATCACCTCTTCCCCTCATCCCCCCATCACCTCATCCCCAATCGCACATTATGTTCCGGTTGTCTTTTGGCTGCCACTCGTATTTGTTTGTCCTCCTGCACACAATTTGTTTCCCCTCCATTGGTTTCTTTTGTCTTGTGCTCCAGCTTACATGTATTTATATATAGGTATATATCTGCTGTGACCTGCAAGTACTCCAGGTTAATGCGGCACTTGAACTTCGAATTGCTGTTTCAAATTGTTAGGTGATTGAGCCGTTCACAAAGTTTCCAAATCCAGCAAGTTTTCCTCGGCTATACAAGCTTCACTGGCTATTTACAAGTGTTTTGGCTGGCTTAGTAAACGATTACTTTAATTTTGAGGTGTGATAAAATGGTTCACTTAAATTTGTTTCCAAAACTTTAATGGCCAAATAAACTTTAATAAAAAAAACCTCTTACTTGTTCTTAGAAAGGGATTAAATATCAGCTTAAATACTGTTAGATATCTTTGATAGATATTTCTAACCCCTAACATTTTAGTGATTTAAATTTCTTATTCGAAATGCAATAGTTTAAAGCTTAAGCTCCAGCCTTCATGCCAAGCATTTAGGCCAATGTGGCCTGTCCCCTCCGGAATGTTAGTATATTTGAAAAGAGTCACCTGATCTCGACCACAAAACATAACTTTGTTTTTATGGGCTGCAATCAAAATTTATATGCAGAAATGTGAGAGGTGCAGGCCGGCTTCTGGCCAAAAGAGGGGCTCAGGATGTATCGCATCGGCTATTAATAACAATTCTGGCAGTGCAGGCCGCATAAATTCGGTGGCCAAAAGTGTGGCGCCTGTGTGGGCGAATAACTAACGTGGCTCGTTCTGAGCCCAAATCGCGTCGGACCTGTGTCAACTGCAGGAGCGATACCACCAGGAGGATCAGGAGGAGCAGCAGGGGAAAGGGGGCAGTAGCCGCAGGACCATGTCAAATCCTGGGGGCTGTGGCACAGACCGGAAGTGGCCAAAGTGTTGCAGGCAACTGAAATGGGCATATATATATTCTTTTGCATATAAATAAGAGCACAAGAAAATGCTTATGGCGCTTAGGGCCAACAGGGATAACGACCACATTCTGCCATTCATTGCAGTCGGCAACCAGCAGGATTTCGTCCTTTGAGCCAGCCCGCATTTTGTGTCGCCAAAAGGATATTCACACAAGCTCATGTCGCACTCTAAGGTGAATATCAATTAAAGGAGTAAACTTTTCGTTTTTAAATTTCTGATTGTGATACCACCACAATTCCCTATTGACTATTCACTAGGCACTAAATATATATTTATTTTTTTATTTCAGTATTAGCTTTAATACATAAATCGCATTTACAATATAATAACTAATTTAGGGAATGGAGTAACTAGCTACTGTGACCATTGACTCGATAATTGATAACAATTTTGTTTCATTTCATGAGAGGGTATATAAGATTATTAATTGGGGTGTTTAAATTTGATGTATAATTTTACATATCCTTAAGAAAGATAATAATAGTTTAGAGTTGGTCAGTTAACAGATTTGATGGCGGGGTAAGACTGAATAGGTTTATTCTGATGTTTGCATTAAATATATAATAATATAAAGTGCATTAATAAATAATTTACTGTCACTCACTTCTCTGTTCCCAAAAAGCAATAACATTTATACCGATTTAAGTCGATAACTATAACCGTATAAATTTAAAAATAAATAATGCGAACGCATCTGCCGAATGAGTTTCTACAAATAGCAGAAGCAATAACGGCGACAATAAAAATTCTTATTTTTCGCCCACACGCAAACAAATCATTTTGTGTGATACCTGAAAAAATGGCATAACTTTTTGCATATGCCAACGGAGGATGGCCGTTCGTAATAAGAGCGTCGACATGTGTTTCGTATGAAAGGCAGAAGGAAATACTTTCGTAAACACAAACAGTGATGGGGAACCAGCTGACGTCCTGCGAGGACACGTGAACATCCTGGGGATTGCCCAGATACACTGATATGTCCTTCGCTTGTTATATGCTAATCCGAACATCGGGCCAACATTTGCGTTTGACAGCCCCAGGCGTTGCCTTTCAGCGCCTGATGAGCCACTGACCAGAAGAAGAAAAGGACCTGGACTTGGGAAGGACCTGTACCAATCTCGGCCTCGATTCGGGGATGATAAATTGTTGCTCTCGCCGGGCTGACATATTTTTCGGGTCTTAAGCACGCAGTGAAAACAAAAGCTCCCCGAAATGTTGGCCTTGAGACGGTCAAAGGAAGCTGGCAAACTACACACAGGACACACAAGATGGAGAGTCTGGGGGGCATTAATAATGCACAGGGGCGGCTCTGGGGTCTTAGGCGTGACCACAGCCTCCGTGTCCGGTGCAGGCAAATGCCTTGATTTATTCCTTTATAATATTCCCCACTTTCCCCAACTATTCTTAAAGTATCCTGCGGAACGCGCTCACTGGGCCGACATAAATTGAGGCAAAGCCCGTCCGCCGTTGCAGTCGACATATTTCGCAGCCGGGTTTCATTCGGCTTTGGTCCTTGTTGAATCCTCCTCCCTTTTGGCCTGTCTCCAGTTTTGGCTTGCTGCCAAAAACTCGCCCTGACATCGCTTGTAATTTCTGTCGCTTTTGCGAGTTTATTAAAAATATAAAAATGCAATGAAATAAAAAGCGCGGAATGTGGCCATCAATAACACGGACGGACGGACTATATCGGTGCTGTTTGTGCTGACTCTGCAAATATATAGTAGTTGGTACACAGTTTGTAGTTGGGCTTGTTGGCTTTCAATTCGAAGTGTAGTAATATTTGTTCTTTGCTGAAGGCTGTCGGACCGAAATTGATATGTTTGGTGTGTTTCAATTATGTCAGCACACCCCCATGAAATATTAATTTGAAAATAATCCTTTCATGGCAAATGTATGTTGGCTTTTTAAAATGCAATAACCTTTTAGTTTGTCATGTCGGTGTGACATTTAGCAACCGAAAACCCATCTGCTGCCAGGACGGAAATGTAGGAGGACAACCAAAAAACCGCAGCGGAAAAACCACCAATGCTACTCGGCTGTCAGCGAAAGCGTTTTTTAAACAACGCCCGAAAATTGCAATAAATTCGGCCTATCCAACTCCGCGAATCGAACATCGAACCGGACATAAATTCAGCCCACAATGTGTGGGAAAAAAAAGTAAGTCAGCAGGAAAAATATGTTTGTCGCTTTAAAAATTGGCCGGGAAAAAAGCAGAGTGTGTGGTAAATTTACTAAAAATGAAGACTAATTGGAATTCCGTGTTTCCGACGCGGCTTCCCCCTCTGAAGTCACATTTCCAGGCTCTGCGACTGGCAAACGTGTTTAGGGCAATGTCAACTACTTACACCCAGCCTCCTTTCAGTCCGCCCCCCATTTACCATGACGCAATTCACATTTTGAACCCAATAAAGGCGTCAACATTTGCCATTTTGTGTTTGCAGAGCCGGGCTATCCAGTCAGCAGGGGCCGTGCAGGATTGTCGTCACAGAAATACACTTTTTTGGCTTCCTTCGGGTCGTGGATGTGGCTCTGATTATAAATTTTATTTACACAGGCGTCGAGCATCGGGAATTCGCGTTTATGGTCCGTATAACGAAATTTTCTACAAATTGCGGGGCACCAAGTCGAGTTACTTATGCAAAGGACAACAGCAAATTGTGTGTGCGTTAACTGGGTTTATAGTTACTGTCGGCAGCTCAGTGGCTGCTTTTTAGTGGGGCAGTGTGACGGGATTGCTGTGGGACGTCTCGTTTGGGAAATGTATTCAGGGAATTTAATATTATGAATGGATAGGTGAGGAAATAGCAAATAATTAAGTTTTTCTAGAAGCTTATTAAAGTTACCTGAAGGATAGACCAGCTCAGGGCGTAGATTGCTAATATTTATTTATTCTTTAATTTTGTAAGCCTTTGACTATCCAGTTTTTAGGAATGTTATTTCAGTATTGTAAATATGTAAATAATTCGTATATTTTTTGATAAACTTATATAAATAATTTGATGTAAAAAATAAGTATCCGTAATTATGATTATGATTACTTTTTGTCAAAGGCCGGTCTAAAGTCTGACAATTAAACTTTATTTATTTGGCATTAAACAAAAAAATGTTGACTTATCTTTTCGAATAAACAATACTCACAATTGTTCGCATAGACATTAATAAATACAGTTATTTGCGATTATTGCAATTTGTTTGTTAATAGTTAGGAATGTTGCTTCTACTTTCCTTCCAGCGCGGCAATATAATTGCAAACTTTGCCGAGCAGTGTGCCATTGTCGACGATTGCCTGATTCTTTTGCAGTTCATAGAGACTGTGCACATCCCGCTGCTCGAATGCGGAATCTATGGCTTCGTTAAACAAGCTGTGGAACAGATATTGGGGATACAGTAAAACGGATGCAGTGTTATACCTTGATTAATTACTCACTTTGCCCTTAAATACCAAATCCCCTTGCGGTTGTCGCGACATCTTGGGATGTACTTTCGCGCCTCGCTTGCGTTGTTCTGTTGTAAACATACCTCGACAAAAGGATCGTACCCAATAGGACTCTTTTTAGTTTTGGCCAGCTTCTCCAGCTCCTCCCACTTGTGCTGTTTTGAAAGTATCAGGACTCGTAGCCACCAGAAGCGCCGCTCGGGCACCTTAAAATCGTTCCGGATCCGCTCTGCCTCCTTCAACTCGCCGAGCTGTAGCAATTCCAGGACGGTGTCATGTATTGATAATCCATTTAAGCTAACATTGTATTTGGTGCTAAGGGTCTTCTGAAGCTTGAGTAATCGACTGGTATCCGCACACAGCTCCGCCTCCAACGTGCAACGTCCCTGGGCATAAGCATTCCCAATCATCGACAGATTAGACTCCAGTCCTTCGGTTTCAATGGCGTTCTCGAAGTGATACTCGGCAATGGCCTTTTGATCGTCCTCAGTGTTGTAAATACCGTAGAGACCGGCTCGGTTTGAATCGCGCATGATCTTCTTGTACATGTTTAGCGCCAGCGGATGATCCCTTATGGTCATCTGGGAATGGATAAGAAGGATAATATAGTCAAACACATTTATTTTACGACTAAGGGATCTTCTTACATGTAAATTAGACAGCATCATGTGCATCTTCATCTCCAAAAGAACTTGGGTGATCAACTCCGTATCGCCCGACTGCGTGGCACTGCCCACTGCCCGATCAAACTTGCGCATCTTCAGCAACAGCGGTACGTGGAGCGAAGCGCGTGGCTCCAGTTCCAGCAGCTTTATGGCCAGATCATCCCGTCCAGCCTGATGCGCCTTTGCCGCTATATTGCAAAAGGAAATGCCCTCGACCGACGGATTCTTGAATTTTTCGGTAATCTTCCGCGCCACTTCTACGTCATCTATAGTTATTTTAATAAATTAGTTCAATCAATATTTCTGAAGATAAAAGGAATGCCATACTTACTGGGATCATTGATCACTTTATGGTAGGCCCAATGTTCCAGGATCCAGGATTCGGGGAGGTTTAAGTGCTTTGCCACTTGGATTGCGATGGCATAGTGCTTTCGGAATACCAAACGGCTGAGTATTACTTCGGGATTAAGATGTGAGAACCTGGGATGAATACCACGATTAATTCAATCCAAAACTTCATATAAATGCTGTAGAAACAACTTACTGTTTGAAGGTGAGCGGCATGGCAATCCTCTCATGTCGCAGTGTGTTGAGTACCCTCAAAATTCGCATGATTCGTATGTATTCGTCCGGATTGTGGCCACGTATAAAACCTTTGCCAAAGTTTGCCGTCTTAAATAAAAAGGTATCGTAAGCAAAGATATGTATATATGGGAATAATTTGGTCACTTACCCTAAGCAGACTCTTCTGGGTCTCCGGGCAAAACTCAAAGGACGCCGCCTCAATGCATTCGGTTACGGCCAAGTCCAATTTTTCACGACACATGCTGAGATATTCGTCCGACTTGTAGGATTTCTCCTCGAACTTCTTCTGGGCCTCGAACAGATAGCTAGCTGGTTCTTGGCTGTTCACCGCAAAGATATTCTCTACGCACTTTGGCAGGCGTTGAATCATTTCATGCGAATTCTGGGTGATGATGCGCACGCCATCCATCTCAGCTACCAGGAACATGACAGGATCATAGGGAAAATCGCTGCGATCAGCATTGCGATTTACTATTAATAGGTAGGATGGATAGGAGATGACCACTGCATCGGCCTCGCTGTTGTCTGCATTCATGATCCACTCCATTTGAAGGGGCATATCTTTGCGGCCTGTGTCGAATTCGCAGTACTTCTGTCGCATGTCCACGCTGCCCAGCCAAAGAAGACCAGTGTTGGTATACAGAGCCAAGTGCTGATGGTTGTAGGACACAGAGATTTTTATGATCCTATCGTGCGGTTTCTCGAAAAGATTAGCGGTAATGGTGCCCACTGTTTCGCCTGGAAACAGTTTGATAACCTCTCGATCCCTTCCCAGAAGACAGTAGCTATTGCGTCCCTCGGTTACAATCTCCCAGCATGAGCAGTTGATGCTGGAATCTGTTGTGGACTAGCATTAGAATGAATGGCGATTTAAGTTAATGGGAACTTAGTTACTTGGAATATCCGGCAGCTTCCTTTCAGTCTTACTGCTGTTTTGTTTGAGGAATATTCGGCCGGATGTGGTCATCACGGCCACTCCGGTGCCAGCGGAGGACTGAAACACCTTGGCCTCCACAATTTTGGTGACACTGGCCTCGTCGCCGATGCTGTACGACTCCTTTTCGCGACCAAACATGTCGAACACAAAGACTGTGGCATTCTCCTGGATGCAGATGAGCTCCTCCGTGTCCGACCAGCCCATGGCAATCAATTTGCCGTGGTTCCACTGTGGGGAAATAAAGTTTATAACAAATATTTGTTGTTTCGTGGTAACCCACCAATAGATGACCCGTTTCCTTGCCCGAGGTATCGAAGATGCGGATCATTGGTCTAGCATTTCCCTTGACCGGCACCAATTTGGTGGGGTCCCGTGTGGTCGCCAGTGGACCTCCATAAGGAGCCGCTTCCACCAACATGTACTCCAAGTCCAGATCCAGTGGCCAATCCGGTGTAGCCAGTTCCACTTTTCTGCAAATGGGATATGTGGGCGTATCCTTTCGTTAACATTTATTGATCAGGGAGTTTTGAGATTACCCACCTGTAGTAGTCCGGTCGCACCTTGAACCACTCGCCGGTATTATACATGATAGGCATGGTGTCTGAGTTTTTAATTCCTTATTTTAACTTAAAACGATTAATTAATTCGCTTGCATTTTCACTCACAATCTGCAACCTAACAGCTGATTCACCAGGGCTGTCACTCTTAAAAACAAAAAAACGATCTATCGATAGTTGCTGTCACCGATATTTTTTAAGGGAAAATTGATCAAATATTTAGGTAATTATGATTTTTAACTGCCTATTCAAATATAAGACGAGGCTCAAAAATATATTTAAGCGCACCAAAAAACAAATTTTAATTGAAAACCCATCGTTTCGATAGTGCTATCGATAGTTTCTAATAAGCGCCTCGTTTCACATGTGAAAGGCCCAATTGCATTGGCCAGTATTAAATTATCTGTTAGATCACGAATTCAGACTGACGAAATCCCAACCAAATGGCGGACACCAAGGAGACGATTGTGGAGGGCGTGGAGGCGTTGACGCTGAACGGAAAACCGGACGCGGAGCCCGTGGAAACGGGCACGGATGCCCAGGCTCAGGAGGGAGCCACTGCAGCCGCCGACGAAGATGTTGTGGATCCGTGGAATGTGGCCAGCAGCAGTGACGCGGGCGTCGATTACGATAAGCTGATAAGTAAGTTGGCCACCTCACATACTCCAAACAACCAATCTAATTAATCAACTGATTTTATCTCCTAATGCTGACACGTTGCAGAACGCTTTGGCTCCAGCAAAATCGATGAGGAACTCATCGCACGCTTTGAGAAAATCACGGGGAAGCCCGTCCACCACTTCATTAAGCGGGGCATGTTTTTCTCACATCGGGATCTGCACACGATTCTCACTCTGCGGGAACAGGGCAAGCCCTTCTACTTGTACACGGGTCGTGGTCCCAGCTCTGGATCCCTGCACGTGGGCCACTTGGTGCCTTTTATCATGACCAAGTGGCTGCAGGAGACTTTCGATGTGCCGCTGGTCATCCAGCTGACCGATGATGAGAAGACCTTGTGGAAGGACCTTAAAGTAGAGGATGCCATCAAGCTGGCGCGCGAGAATGCCAAGGATATTGTGGCCATGGGATTCGATGTCAACAAGACGTTCATTTTCAACAACCTGGAATTTGTGGGGTAGGTTAAATTATTAATTGTATCAAGTTAGTGCTAAGATATGCATATACCACCTGTTAAATTGTATTTATAACGGATCCCCTTTCTTACAGAAAATGCCCAGCCATGTACCAGAACATTATTCGCATCCAGAAGTGCGTTACCTTCAACCAGGTGAAGGGAATCTTTGGATTTGGTGATTCAGACATCATTGGCAAGATCGGCTTCCCGGCCGCCCAAGCAGCCCCCGCCATCTCCAGCACCTTCCCCTTCCTCTTCGGCAACAAGAAGGTGCACTGCCTCATTCCGTGCGCTATCGATCAGGACCCGTATTTCCGGATGACCCGCGATGTGGCCCCACGTCTGGGATTCCCCAAGTGTGCGCTCATGCACTCGACCTTCTTCCCGGCGCTGCAGGGCGCGAAAACGAAGATGTCGGCTAGCGACCAGAACTCTGCGGTTTACTTGACGGATACGCCCAAGCAGATTAAGAACAAGATCAACAAGTACGCCTTCTCCGGTGGACGTGTCACTGTGGAGGAGCACAGAAAGCTGGGCGGCGTGCCAGAAGTGGATGTTTCCTACCAGCTGCTCAAGTTCTTCTTGGAAGATGATGCTAAGTTGGAGGAGGTGCGAGTGGCTTACAGAAAGGGTGAGATGCTGACGGGCGAGATCAAAAAGCTGGCCGTGGAGGTAAGTTAAATGGTCATGCCAATTCAAATCTTAAAACTTAATGTTATTATTAGCTCAATGTTATTAAAATTATATCGTTAACTTTCTTGGCAAAAGCATTGAAATTCATGCAAATTCCCCTCTCCTTTTTCAGACCCTCACTCCCATTGTGGAACAGCATCAGGCAGCCCGCAAGTTGATAACAGACGAAGTACTAGACAAGTACTTTGAACTACGACCCCTGCAGTTTGGCAGTTAGAGCTGCGGTGGAGTGGAAAGACTTGCATTTGCTTGACATCGATTCTTAACACAGTTAAAACGACATTAGCCTAAATCGAACTAAGCGATATTAGTTCAGCACCGAACCTACTAAGGCACTCCTATGTAAATAGCTATAATGAATTGATCTATGCCTGGGCATTGAGCCCTAATGGCGCCCACTTAATGCATCGTTGTACTCGCTATTTATTTTATTTTTTACACACCGTGTTTATTTTTATAAAGCAGAAAACAATAAACGGCTTCGATTTGCAATTGTGACCCACATTCGGGGAGTTGTAAAAAAGTCTGTGGACTTCCCTGGGAACCCGAAACTTCAGCCAAGGAGAGCCCGCGAGAAACAAAACTACTCTCTAGGTTTCTCTACGGAGAACTATGCGCATATTCATTTCCGATTCCCAGCAAGACTCCCTCTCTGGTGCACCAGCTAACAAAATAACTGTCGGCTTCGGAAAAATGTAAGTTATTTCCCCCCTTTCGAGTTGTATGTGTTTGCGGGTAACCAGAGATGTTGCACATGAATTGGATTTCGGGGGCAAGGCTCACAGTGGCTACATTCTATTTGGAATCCGAGAGGATTTATGAAAACTTGGGATTTTCGGAGGTAAAAAAATATTTTCTGAGAAACATACAATATAATAGGTCATAATAATATTGAAAACATTTTAAAGCCCATCGCAAGTAAAAATAGGTGTGATGGTTTTTAAATTAAACCAGATTACTCTGAAAATCAGATACCCATATTTTTAAATGCCATTTCCTTTTTTATGCCATTTCCTTTTTTATTTAATTTACTGAACATTTTATTTTAATGCTTAGTTAAAGCAAAATAATAGTTCAATATTAATCAATATTCAACCAAACTATTTCTTTGTTTGCTTTATTAAAAATAAATTTAAATGAAATACATTTGTATAAGCAGAATCAATTATATTTTATTTAAAAAAGAAGACCTTAAAATAATGTTTTATATATTTAGAGAACTCATTGGCTGTTCATGTAGGACTAGGCAAAAAAGCGAATTAGTTACAAAATTAGAATTGGGCGAAGGGTGCCTAGGTGTTGTTTTTACCTCCATATAGAAGTATATTCATAACTGGGGATATGGATATATATGTATTTTTTTAATTAAGTCAAAACACTTGTGTTTACATGCGTCGAAAATACACGCTTATGTGCTGGGCGTCGAGTGTGGGTGTTTGTATATAGCGATCGAAAAGAAAAACTCAAACTGAAGTTGTGGCGACGATCGTCGATCGCTGATCCCAGAGAGGGGACTTCAAAAGTCAGACGCAACTCCAGCCTGCCACACGCGCCTCGATTGCCATCCGTCGGATCGATCGCACAATAGCGAAGAAATTAAGCCGCTTTGTTTGTATACCTTCATATACCTGTGACAAAAGGATCCTCGACGACAAGTTGGTCCCCCCTCCACATAGATCACTTGTTGACACACGTACAAAGAGGTGGCCTCTTGAACTAGACGAGATGTGGCTCTCATCAACCCCGGATGAGTAGTCACGTCCGAATCGGATCGATGGTGAGCCATTCATCACGATTGGCAGAGTCTCTAATGCACTAAAAATAAGAAAATAACAACCGAGTCCAGGTAAACCTGCTGCAGTCCGGCAAGAACTCTCGATCGGTCATTCGAAAAGCGGCTTAGGCGATGACGGATCAACTGCTGAGCTCCGCTGGCAGCGCTCCCGGGGATCCCCCCACGGTCTTGGTCCCCGTGCCAGCATCTACGGGCGGACCATATCTGAGCGGTGGATCCGAGGGCGAGGCGGAGTCATCGGAGCAACCCGTCCTCCTTGAACTGGGTGCTCCCCAGTCGGGCAATTGTCCGGCAGTTAGTCTGAATTACACCCTAACCCCCGATGGAGGAGGTCTGCTGGCCTATGCGCCAGTTCATCCGCACAACTACTCACCCACCTTCGGCTACGACAAAGAGCCACCGAACTTGGGTCTGTTGCCACCCAGTTATAGTGTGATCCCTCAGCCGGTGTCGATGTGGCATGCCGGACAGGTTGCCTCTGGATCCCCAGTGGGCCTGGAGGGAAGCAAACACAGCGAGCTGGTGCCTCCTCCGATGTACATGAGCTATGGGGGAGGGAGTATCGCCAATAGCACGGAGGTGGATATATCCAAGGAACACAATCCCGCCTGGCGGGAGAAAGCCTTGCAAATGGAGAAGGACTACAGGCGCACAGCCTGCGATCGGGAGAGAACTAGGATGCGGGACATGAACCGAGCCTTTGACTTACTGCGCTCCAAGCTGCCTATTTCCAAGCCGAATGGGAAAAAGTACTCCAAAATCGAGAGCTTGAGGTAAGTGAAAAATTGTACCTATTCCTAAACAAGAAGTTAATCTAAAATTTACCATTTCAGAATTGCCATCAACTACATCAATCACCTGCAGGCCATGTTGCGGGATAGTTCGGTGGCTCAAAATGGCAGTGGATGCTGTGCCTGGAGTGGCGGAAGTAGTTCACCTTATGACAATGCCAACGATCATTGGGGAACGTAGTAAAAAGATATACCAGTATATTAATTAATTATATATAATTTGGCGCGTGTGAACATCATAAATATCCACCATGGGGATGTATTTTCAATTAAAGGTCCTCCGAACACCGAGTCTTCCTTCTATAAAATAACCAAGCCAAATTTGATGTGCAGTTTGCCAAAGAAATCACTGGTGGTAGTCACCGGAAATTACCGTGGTATATGAAAGTTAGCTTGTTTAAACTCCTTTGAAAATTAATTTTAAAATCAGATCTTCTGAAAACACAGAATTTGTGTTCAATTTTACTATTTTCAAAAAATTGCTTTTGCTATTGCTTTAACTTTAACTTTAAATAAGTGTAACATGTTAAATTTGTTATAAGGGTAACCATAAAATAAAATATGAAAATAAACGACCAACACATTGTCTTTTTAGGCTATATATATTTAACGTTACTTTTTAACATTTCACATTTTGATAATTTACATATGATGAATCGTCTGAAGAACTGACTGACTTGGCGAGTATGTTGTGCATATTCGTATATATATAAACCTAAAAAGTACAACAAAACAGGAAAATGTAACAAATTACTATGGAATTGTTGCTCAGCCGCAACTGCATCGAAAACTGATAAGTTTGTTAATACTTATGTATAGATAATAAAACCAACTACTGCGACAGCTGTACGCACACACACACACAATTTATCCGCTGTTGGATTGAAGTAGAAGTTGGCAACCTGCAACTCAAAAAGGGGACGAAATAACAAAGCGTAACGCAAGCTCCTCTCGCTCCTCAGCTCCTCCTTCGCTTAGTTATCCTTCTTGATGCGGGTGGAGGTCATGCGGTAGATAATGGAGTCCCTGCCGGGATCCATGGCAGCGATGGCGTAGCAGATGGCCAGCAGCGACAGTCCGAAGACGACCATGAACCAGAGGATGATGTTGAAGATGACCGGGTAGTCGCTGTTGTAGTAGACGGCCAGGTTGAAGGGATTGGTAGTGGAAGCAGCCAGAGCATCACGCTTGGCGCGCGACACTGCCACATCCTTCTCCGTGGTCTGCACAAACAGAACCGAGTCGCTGGACTTCTGGGAAGCGGCCAGCAGGCGGCCGATGGCGGCGGACAGCAGCTTGTTGGCCTCATCCACGGCTACAGACTTCTCACCGTGAGCCTTGACCACTCCATCGACGCACACACGGATCAGCAGGACATTTGAGGGCTTGGCCATCTCGGCCAGATGATCGGCAGCACCGTTGATGAATCCAACCTCCTGCAGGAACTGCTTGTCGGCGGAGTGCAGAGATGGATTCAGGTGCTTGGTGGGCTTGGCAGCTGGAGCCTCAAAGTCACCAAAGCAGGATTTCCAGGCTTGAACCTAAAATAATATTCACATTATTAGTTATAATCTTTTTGGGATTTATAGGGATAACTATATCAGACACTGCAAACTAATTTAAGTCGGATAAAAATGGGAAAACTTGGTTTCATTAGTCGGCTACCCATTTTTTTTCAACTCTCTTAATTAATAGCTTAATATGTTTAATAATAACGCTAATTGATCTGGAGTAGTTACTGAACTTTCTTTAAAGTTGTTACTATTATGCAATGACTAAGATTATTACTTGAGAGCTCTGATTAAATCCAGTGCCTTTTCATATTTTTAAAACGATTTTTTTCTTGTGACACACTGTTTTGATCACGAGATTTATAAAATTATTGGTTTTTGAGGTCTATGGATTACTCTAATTGATTTTAATGAAATAATGTTTGCCCTAATTGTTACCACAACGATTTATGAGATGACAGAAGTGTGTTTTTAAAGATATGTGGTATAGTTTTCCTATCTTGCAATATACATACACCATCGTCGAACTGCTCGAAGTTGATATCGCAGACGGGCTCATTGGCAGCCTCCAGTTCGGCGGCCAGGGCGTTTAGGGAGGTGTCCGTTCCGGTTCCCGTAAGCTCGTAAGACTTGACGTTTCCGGCGGTGGTCACATGGCCAAGGCCCTGGACATGGACCAGGATTATGCCCTTGGCCAGGTTGAAGGGATCGTTGATGGTCAGGCCGTTCCAGTTGGAATCGCCGACGACAGCGTTGCCAAGAGAAGCGTAGAGCACATCGCCGACGTAGTGGCTCTCCAGCGCGTCGTTGCCCTTGAAGCTGATCGCCTTGGGTCGGTTCAGCACCGTGAATTCGCCAGCTGCATGGCCTGGAAAGAGCGGGATCTAATAAGTACCATACTAACTATTGTCATCTCCTGTGTCCAAGATTCTGCGCATGCAAGTGGGGGACACTCAGAAGTCCCGAGTTTTGGGTGTCACCACCCCCAGACGAGAATCGATGAATACAGAATATCCACATTTTAAACGTCTTCCACTTGCTGCTTTTGGATTTATCTCCTTTATTAAAGGTAGCTGTACTTACTGGCTGCAATAAACAGCGAGAAAATCACGCAAATCTGCAACATTTTCAGTTTTGCGCTGGACTTTTAATCATATGACGAACGACTGCAAAGAAAAACCTTTTCTCCTCCCCGAATTCTCCCTGGCTATCATGTGATGAGCAGGGTTGCAGCGGAAAGTAATCGAATGGCTGGTAAGCAGGGTTGCCTAAGAGGTTGATATATCGATTGCAACGGTATTTATTTATATAGAATTGTAATATATAATTAAATTTTGTTTTGTTTAAAATGGCTATCAAAATGTGCATATTGTGTGCAAGTTTGGTATTTTCTGGCTTGCAACTGTTTATTTTTAAAGCTAAAAAACTTATTTTGTAAATCAATGTATTGTAAATACCTGGGGTAGTGCTGGCTTAGATTTTAAAAAATCGTTCACGTCCGGGAGCTAAATTGTTTTTAAAATATTTATATAGACACAAGTCGTTTCTAAAAGGCTTCCAAAAAAATAATTTTTGAAAATTGGTAAGAGATTCACAAGTCAAGTGTATTAAAAAACTATATTTTGAATAGATCGCTTAAATTTATTCAAATTAAAGAGATGCTAAACCCAAAACCGTTTAAAGGTATATAGAAACTATACAGCGGTTTTGAAAGATTTAATATCCCTAAAGCATACATGTAAACATTAAGGTTAAAGTTAATTTTGAGCGCGTAGAGCATCGATTTCCAATCGAAGCTTCTGAATCCGAAGCAAAGTCAGTGTGCGCTCCAGTTTCAGGTTCTCCGTTTCCGTTTTCAGAAACTTGGTTTTGCTGTGAAACTGTTTGATCTCGGCTCGCGTTTTGTCCGCCTTTAGGGCGGCTAAATGATTTCTTGGCCTGGCTTCGACGATTGTCGTCGTTCCATTGGCCGAGTCATCCGGATTGTGCTGCAATATGTAATGCTGCTCTATAAGCATTGTTGGCAATATGAACAAAATATATAATATTCACCTCTTTGTTTTCGTCCAGGTATTCAACGTATTCGCGGTTTTGTACCTCAACGTTAGAGATCTCAAACTCCATATGTTGCTCTTCCGTTTGCTGATTTTTTAAGAAATTCGTTTTCCGAATCTCGGTTTTGATTTTGGGTGTGCCTTTGATGGTGTCCACCTCATCAGCCTCATCCAGAATTTGTTGAATCTGGTTAGGTGAAAAAATATATGAAACTTAATTGTTGTTCTGAGGAGCCAAATGGTTACCTTAACTATGATCTCTTTGCCTTCGGTAGCATTATCCAAGACGCCATCACCTTCGTCACTTGATATTTTTTGAATCTACAATATAAGGAAAGACACCATCTATTAGTATAAATATTTGTAAACCTTTTGTAGTGCCTCACATTACAGATGTTTCAGCACCTTTATATCAAACATTCAAATCGATCATAAGATTGAATGTGTCTTTTAGATTTCACCTATTTTTCCAAATGACCCCCTGCTGTTCCCAGCACAACACTGCTTTGGGTAACACTTTGCTGTGCTCCAGAATCTTATAGACAGTTACCTTGATCCGAGGACCATCTTCATCTTTAGCTTTCTCCACATCGGAGCGGAATATTACTGGACATCTACTTCGTCTAGTATCGCAAGTTTGCCTACAAATAAATAAGGATTACTTGACGTATGTAAACATAATGTGAAGTGTAAGTATGTAGTGTTACCTGTGTAACGATAGGCGGGATAGCGCGGTATTTTGGAGCACCCTGTCACAGAAATGGCAGGTGGCCGAATATTTACCGTTCTCGAAGTTCGCGGTGAAACCGTGGGTCCTGTAAAAATCCTCTGATTTCTTTCGTGGCATTTTATGGAGCAGAAAGTGTCGTAAATAGAAATGTACTATACACGGTGCAAATAAAATGGCTTCTCTACAGCTGGAGGTAAAATCCACGCTAGCATCAGATAAACATGTATCGATATATCGATAGTAAGTTGTTTTTGAAACAAATCAGTTGGTTTTATTTATTTTTATTACAAACAGAATGGATCATAAAATATAATACCACTACTGATAGTTTTCTATAGTGTTACCATTTCATATTGTTTTTTTAGATCTGTAATTTTTAAATTATTTCAAATCTTAAACCTTTCGCTTACTTCTGAAAGTTGTTTAAAGAAAATTTAACAGATTACCTAACAACTGCGTATCAATAATATTAAATGAATATAAAATACCATCTAAAATTCTTTCAAATTTATTGTAACATATTCTTTATTTAATCGCGTTAAGTCCAACCCTCCGAAAAACCTTTTTTTTTTGCTTATGAATTATTGTCCTATTCCTATAACATACTCACCTTTATCGACATTAAGTAATCAATTAATTAATATTCAAATAATAGCGACCATCGATATCAGCAGATTCTGGCCTATCGATATATCGGTTGATTTTACAGCAGCCAACACTTTCACGTAATTAAACACAAGCCGAATGTAAAAAATGTCGGTGGTAAAAAAAGCAAAGCGAGTTGGTAGCGTTTCAAAGGACGCTACGTGGAAAAAGTTGGGTTTTCTACCGGCGTTTAAGGAAGGAAAGGTTGGAGAGGCCAAGAAGTACCGAGCACTGTGCATCCATTGCCAAAAGTGTCAATCAAACACCAGTATAGACCGGCTAATCATACACAGGTCCGTATAAAAACTATTCCCGCTCTTTTCTGTACAAAAAAAGTTTTGTAGGAAATCCTGTACAAAGTACCGGGAGGATCTCACCGAGGAGCTGGGCGCGAAGTTGGAAGTGGATGCTCCGGAATCCATGAAGACGGAGCTGAGTACTGACGCCTCAGATCCAGCAGTAACACCTTCCAATATTGAGTTTTCGACCACCAGTCTACTGGACAAACTGCTGGATGAGGACGAGAGTAGTGGGCGTAATCCGGAAACCACCTTGGTGAGCTACCTGACTGACCTGGATCAGCTGGTGGTCCCGCCATCCGATGCCAATCGACTGCAGAAGGACCTCATCAAGGCGGAGACGGAGTACTTGGAGGCCAAATCCGACTACTTCACCAAGATGAACGAGATCGCCGAACTGAAACGCACCGTCACCATGCTGGAGGCGAAAAAGACCCAGCTGGAGATCGCTAAGCTGAGAGCCGAGTGCGAGTAGCCTTAGTTTTTTACCTACACATCAGTTAAAAATTTTTCTGAATAAATAAAATTGAATAGATAATGAATAATAGCGATGCGGGGAGTACGATGGAACAATTTGCAAAGATGCCCGTGCACGTGGGCTTTCTGATCAAGATGGCGGCCCAGCTGCTGTCGCATCCAATGGAGCTGGTTCGGGTGAATATCCAGGCAAATGTGATCCATCATAATCGGCTGACCGTAATGCATATGATCCGGCTTATGGCCAGGAATGGATTGCCCGGGTTTTATTACGGAATTGTGGCCTCCGGCCTGCGTTGCACAGTACACACACTGTCCTCTTATTTACTTTTCTACAATCTGCGCGACAACGAGTATGTGATGATGATAAGACCATACAACACAAGCGCGGTCCTGGGCGTGACAGGATTTTGGGGCGGCCTTCTGGCAACACCATTCGCCAAATTGGCGGTCATTCGGCAGGCGGATCTTACACGCGGACCCTTTCAAAGGCGCAAGTAAGGAATACGAAATTTCGCCAATAATAAAAAAGAATCGGGCACGTTTCGGTTATACTTTCAAATGTGGTACTTGTTTAAATGTACATGCTTTTAACCTTTCAGATAGGATAATATTATCCAAATGAAATTTATATTTTGACTTTAGAATAGTGAATTATTACTTCATATAAGCTTGATTCAAAAATATGCTTAATTTCGTGCCCTTCAAACCTATAAAAGTATACCTTTATTTTATAGTTACCGGAATTTCCTCAGCGGCCTGAAGTGCATGTACAGGAAGGGCGGATTTATATACTTGTTTAACGGATGGAGGATAAACTGTTTTACGAGCACATCAGTGGCAATGCTGTATAAACCCGTGAGCGAGCAAGTCCATACCCTGATTTCTCGGTTTCACGGACTGGACGAGGCCTGGTCTAACGATCTTATTACTATGGCGCTAACGGGTGGGATTATCACACTGATTATGACTCCTGTGGATGGGTTAGCCACCGTAACATTGAACGAATCCTCCAACTACGGTCGTCAGTCATACAGGGACGTATGCCAAAAAATAATACGTAAACATGGTTACAAAGGTTTTATCTTTGGATGGAAACCGGCGCTTATGGCTCTTGTACCACACACCATATTGGCAACATTTGTATATCGTATATTAGTTGATCGGTACATAGTATAAATTTGTCATATTTATTCAAAAATCTTGCGATGTATAATTGTCAGAGCCTCCGTAAACTCTTCTAATCCAGCTGGCATCTTTTGCGTTGAGCAGTTTTCCAGTTGAAAGCTGAAGACTTCCGTGAAGCGCAAAACGAGCTAATGGAGAAAATAGGTGTGTTGCACATTTACCGACTATGGCAATTATAAAAACATATTTAAACAAGAAGACCTTACGTTTAGAACTGAAGGTGCCCGCTCATGGGCAACCAGGCACTCCATTAGAACAGCCACAAACTTTCCGTAAAACTCGGGCAGGTGCGAGTGCAAGGCCTGCAGCGGAATGGGCAGGATGCATACTAGAAAGCATCTGAGCATCTGCTCCAGCAGCTCGGTACACACTTCAACGCCTTGGAGCAGCTTATCCGACTCAAGGACGAGCATTTGGAGGATGGCCTTGGCCCAACGATAGCTGGTGCTAGCGTTCAGAGCAAGGCACTCTTCCCGACATGCCGCCAACTTATCTGGCTGACTAAGATCTGTGGCCAGAGCAGCTTCCACATCGCTCCGGTTGATGGTGAAATAGTAGCCCAGTCGAGTAATGAACTGCAGCAGGCAGACGGAGATTTTTGGGCTAGAGGCCATGGTTACATTTTGGATAAGTCGGTCCAGCATGTCGTCGCATTGGTTCCACTAAGGGGTATGTTACATTAAATATTTTTTGTGTGTGTGTTTGTTTACCAACCGTAAAAGCATCCAGGTCTACAAAGTGATCCAGGCATAAGTACAAGCAATTCCAAACGGAGTCTATAGCTTCAATTGACTCCATGTTGTAGGCATCCTTGAGGGAATGGTCATAGATCACGCTGTGCACATTAAGCTCTTGAATATCTTTCGGTTCCTGGATGGTAAACTGTTCTATTAAACTTTCATGTGTCAAAGAACCGTAAACGCACGCTAAATTTCAGCATCACTGAGAAGATCTTGACGCCCAGTTGTTTGTAGGCCGGATCATAGCATTCCCGCACATTGAGACCCACTGATAAGGCGAAGGCCAGCATTCGTGTGGGCATTCTGGATTTTTCCGAGTATCGGAGCTGCGGAAGAGCTTTCAAATAAAGTAAGCCATCAGTATTTATATATTACTCCTCTGTACCTCCAGGTATTTGGCAAATCCATGCACTGCTCCTAGTTGTTTCTTCCAGCAATCCCTGTGGAGTTTTTGCTCGTAGTATTTCAAGATTTGGGCATCTGTGGACTCCCACCATTTAAATGTGAGCTTCGTAGCCAGCTCACGGGCGTTTTTTAAGAGGTTTCCAGAATCATCCTTCAGTTGGTAAACTGTGGGAGCTGCTGTTAGCTCGCAAATCAGCAGGAGGAGCTTCACCCTCAACTAAAAGTTAACCAGATTGTAGCTATTGAAATGCACTTCCGTTAATGCTTACCTCTTCGTGTCCTGTGTCACCAGTCTTCTGCAGGAACTCCTGCACCAAATCGTACAGCTTGGGCAGATCTACCATTAGAAGGGAATGATAGCTCTCAAATTGCGACGCCTCCAATTGAATGTTATCCAGATCGTCCTTCAGCTCCGGCAGCATATAGAATTGGACCAGCTCACACATGTGCGCCACAAGGGCCTCGGTGGTATCACAAGTCATTGTAAAACTTTATTCTGTGGTTTATGTTACACCTGTAAATGCCGTGGACTTATTTGACGCCCGTCGCTATTGTAACATTATTATTTTACAAAAAATTAGCCAACAAAAATTGTAAACAATAAAGCCGGTAGAGATGGAGAAACATCGATGTTATCGATGTTTTTAAGACATCGGTAATATCGATCCTTCTCCATTTCTATCTGCGCATTGCACAAGGAAGTTTTATTTCATTTATTCCTTATAAATTATTATTATGTTTAGCATTTTGTTTTTTTTTTGTGGTGGTGGCTGGTATGGTATATCTATGAAGTAATAAATAATAAATAAAAACAATTTTTTATTGGTTTAAACTATGTTCTTTATTTTAAACAGAGACCGTTAAAAATAAAGATACCGTTACTAAAATCAAAGAATGTGGAAATAATGCGTTAATGATAGAGTTTCCATACGTCAATAAACTTTTTTTTTCAAACAACCGAATCTTTTTGATTTCTCAATCAATTAGAGATTTACGATGTTAATAGTTTTCAGTCATTTTTTAAAGTTTCATAATTTCATAATTGTGCCATAATAATGTGTACCATGAAAAACAGACAAGTTTGTCAATATATTTATGCATTACCTCACTTTATCTTTATTTTATAAGTTTTATAATTTTTTTTTATTTTCCTACTAATGCAATTATAAATCAATCCAATAAAGCGGTGTAGAAAGACGTGCTGAAGCCATTGACCATCATTTGTTGGTCGATCCAAGCTCGTGCCAAGGCTACGTTGGAATAAGCCGCTGGCAACTGATTATTACATCCAACGCCCCATGACACTATGCCACTCAGCTGGTAGCGGTTTCCAGAGGGTTCTCCAATGGGACAGGCCAGTGGAGCTCCACCATCGCCTTGGCAGGTGTCAATGCCATGCTTTCCTCCAGCGCAAATGAACGAAGGGTCCAAGGAGAACTTAGGTCCAAGATGGGTCATTCTGAGCCTCTCCTGACAATAATTAGATTCCACAATGCCTAAGGGCACCCGTTTCATTATGGCACTGAATTTTCCCGAATCTCCAGAAGCATCCATGCCCCAGCCATTGGCAAAGCAAGTGGTGGAGGGCAGAGGAACGACGGCTTGATCTGGTAAACATATCACATTTATATGATCATTCAGTGTGAACGGTTCTTCCAGAATTAAAAATGCGAAATCATTAGCAAAGGACTTGAAATCGTATTGAGGATGATTAATAATTCTTTGGACTTTTACTTCCTGATACTGTTGACGCTCACTCTTTGACTTGAAATTCCATTCTCCAGCTCGAATCGTATAGGTTTTCCACTTTTGAACTCTGTGGGCGGCAGTCAAAACCACCTGGGGATGTATAAGTGATCCAGAAAAGGAGTAGTTTCCGGACTCCATTATGGCGACAGTCCAAGGAAATTCGAAAACGTCAGATTGATACAATTGGGCTCCTCGAATGGAAATATCTATGGCACCCACATTGCGAACACCGCAGCCTCGGGTTTTCTTGGGTTTTGGTGTTGTGGTATCATAAAGCAATCTTTGGTTTCTCTGGGGTCTTGGTGTTGTAGTATCGTCAAGCAACTCTAGGGTTTCCTTGGGTTTTGGTGTTGTGGTATGGTCAAGCAATCCACTAAGAGGACAACATACATCCATGGAATTAATTTTAGAACACGGGTCAATAGCTTTTCTATGCGATGTAGAGTCGCAATTCGAATATCTAGTGCATTGGCATGGTTCTACTTTTTCTATTATTTTCTCCGATTTTGTGGGTATTCTGGGAATAGGCGTATTAATAACTTCAAATATTCTTTGGGTTGTGCTTTTTGTTGTGGTGGAACCAAATAATTGGGTTGTGCTTCTTGTTGTGGTGGGACCAAATAAATCTTCCATGTTTTTGTTAAAATTTGTTCTATCTTTAGGTGAAACCCTTAGTTCCTGCCCTAATGTTGTAACAGCACATAACAAGACCAACAAACTTATATAGACAGTCATTGCAATCTGTAAAATAAAACAGAAATTACATAACTTTTTATCACGGTTTTTGGTTATTATGGAAAACTTTTTGCTAGCAATTATTACCTCTTAAATTCGCAGCTTTTATGATAACGATACCTTCGTTTAAAAATGTATTAATAAAGTTTCCTTTTTCGCAAATTTTTAAGAATTGTGCAATTAATGTGGATCGGATTCCATTAGTTGTTTTAAACACAAGCTAAGCTCCGGGGCTACTGAATGCGTATAGGGTAAGTGTGCTACATTTAAATCTGTCTATATACATTGTCTTTAAGAAGTTGATAAGAACTGAGATGCACGATTCCGGCAGTAAACGACTCTTAATTTGGTTTTTGCCTTGATTTACTCATCTGGGAATTTCACGAGCTCACTGAACCTGTTTAAGCAGATTACTTGGGATTTGAAATAAGAAAAATAAGAAAATATATAAGTCAGAAAAACCACATTGATAAGAGTAGTGAATAATTTAGATCAAATGGAGAGAATTTATATTTCACTTTTAAATTATACCTTTCACCTCATTTTGTCACCAAAACAGCTCTGTTTTTCAATCAAACAAAACAATTAATTATGTCATTTATCAGAAGTGATTTTGTTTTGGTTTATTTTTATTTAACACGCAACTTAAACAAATATTTATTGCAAAATTAGTGGAAAATAATCGAACTAATTGAAGCCCTTACAACATAATCTGGTTAACCAACTTAACGCTGGGAGTATTTTATATAAAAATAAAATATTTAATATTAGATAAGATTTAAAAATCACTCGTAATCAAAGTTTAAGCCAGCACCACGAATATGCTGCTCACTCCAGGCATCAAAACGTTCCGACATCTCGTTTCCCATGTGATTACGCCAGTCTCCGATCTTGCCATTCCGTATGAACTTCGAAGATGACTCCGGCAGCAACTTCTCCAGGTTCACCGCCTTATTTCCCCGCATCTTGTCAAAGGTGAGGTGCTCGCACAGGTGCTGCAGACTGGACACATCCAGGAGACTCTGCACGCCCAGGAATCGGGCACAGCGACGAACCACACTCGGCAGATCCTTGATCATATCCTCGTACTTGATGAACAGCACATTCTCGTCCTGACTCCGCTTCCAAAAGGGCAACACGTGCTTCCAGTAGGATCCCATCGGAGTGTGGCCCTCCAGGAAGAGATCCACAAACTGTTCGAAGTCCCCATTGATTCCGTGGAGCAGCTTGCAGTAGTGGTAGTACGACACACACAGATCCTTGGGATTGCGTGCTGTGTAAACGATCCTCGGCTTCACCGTCTCAAATTCCTCGGGTAAAAGTGGCCAGGAGAGATGGGAGCGGGCGAAGCGAGGGCGTGGCAGATTGCGAACCAGATCCACTGTATTTCCAAACTTTTGCCTGCCAAACAGGGAGAAAGTTCAATAGAGCGCAAAGCTTTTCAAATTTGTATAAGGGTGCTTCAATGTGAGAGTGAAAGAGAGGCTTTCTACAAAAATATTAACTTATCAGCATCAACAGTACATAAAAGAAATCAGTTTTTATTTCTATATGTTTTGTTGATTTTTTGGGAAAACCATATTATATTGTATTAATTGAATATAATTCAAATCAAAGAAAAGAAGACGTGATAATTTAAAAGTAAAAGTTGAAAATAACGATCTGATCTATTATCTTTTTGAACACCGAAGGTATGTTTAAAGATCAATAAGATTTTTGTGTTCTCTTCTCAAAATTGTATGTTTATATTAAGAAGGTAATGTCGAAAACTATAACCATTCAAAATTAAATTAATGATTTTTTACTTACGCAATCGCCTCGTGATGATCGGTGCTGAACAAAGCGGATAGTTCAATAAGTGGTGACCGCAGCCGCAAGTCCTGCTCTGCAGCTACGTAATCCAACTGGTGTCCCAGCAGCCATACCATTTCCTGGGCCCAAGTGGATCCAGTGCGTGGATAGGACACCATCCACACGTCGTCCTGGAACACGGGGAGCGATCGGATGGAATCTCCCAGCTCCACATACTTCCTGGGAATGATCAACCGGTCGGGAAGCACCTCCACAAAGCAATTTTGAGCCGGAAAAACGGCATTTGTGCGACGAACGATGTCCGCCTCCAGTTCGCGATAGATCAGCTGCATGGCAATATATCTGGACCGTTGTGCCCAAAAAACTAAAGCACAATGAAGTCAAGCCAAGTGGCAAGTGCAAGTTCAAACGAGCCACTGAAAGGAAAATGGTGAAAATGCCCCTGGCCAGTTTTCACACACATGAACTGGTTTGGCTGAGAAAAGTTTCAAGCATATAAACTAAAGTCAAGCTTCAATAAGTACGCCTTAAACTGAGTTCAGTTTTTACGCTCGTCAGATTGAAATACTTAATCAAAAGTACTAAATTGTTTCAGGGAAGTTGTTAAAATGTCGAACTATACTTTGTTAACATCATATTACCACTTAGGCAAGCTTGACTGTAGTTGGAAAGCTTTTCTCTCGTGGTTCGTTGACTCTAAAGAGATCGAGGCATCTGTACATAACATCTATCATTAGTAAGAGTTAGACAATGTCTATCGTTTTTATGAACCTTATGAATAATAAATTGTTGCTACTTTGTTATTATCAATAAAAATTGTTTGATTTGGTTTTGTATGGGTGAATTCAATTCACTGAATTGTGTTTTCTTCCGAAAAATGTGAAATCGGCCAATTAATGAAAAGATAAATCAATCTGAGTCTGAACAGAACCAACTAGTTTAACGAAAGCGGGCAATAAACAATAACCTTATTTAATTTATCTGGCTTTCAGAGAAAAATGCAATGCTAAATTACACAACAAAAGACAAGCCCCAAACATTGATTAAATTTACTATCTACGACTATTAATCAGTTTAGTTTAAATTTAAATGTATTTCAATCCGTAATACTATATACACACGAAATCGTTATCTCAATTACAGCTAAATCGTCTTAATGAGCCTTCGTCTTCTCCTTTCCCTCCAGATCTTCATCTTGATCTTGATCTGCACCTGGAATGGAGCACTACAACTCGTTGTGGATATATTCTGTGGTCACCTTGGCCTCGCCCTCGTGGAAACCATTGCAGTCGACTGGGTATTTGGCCTGTATTTGGTCATTCGCAGAAGGAGAAAAAATACAAAATTATAAAATTAGTTCAAATTCAAAGGAACTATATTATAAATAATATTCAAATTAAAAATAAAGCAAAAAGAGCCTTAATTACTTTGATATTTCTTTTTATAAGTTTTATAAGTGATATTATTTTTTTTTTTTTTAACCTTGCTACAAAAATTATTTTACAATGTAGTCTGAAGTTGATTGGAGTTCCTACTTATAAATATCGAAAGATAACGCTCTATGCTTCACATACTTTTTAATATTTTGTAAATATCCAACTTTTTAACGTTTTTTTTTTTTCTCAAATCTAACCCAGTTCAAATATCTTTCTGTGCTGCATTGTGGCCGTTACTCACCTCGCAATTGTAAGGCGCATTGATCACGCCGAATAGCGTCCAGAACGGCGTACCGGTTTCCGTGCTAATGAAGATCGCTGCACCCATGCTGCCGATCTTCACGATTTTCGGACTGACTCCGGCAATTAGGCCGGACGCCGATGTCGGTGTCTGTCGATTCTGCTGCTGCTGCTGGTTCTTTGGCTGGTGGTGCTGCTGGTATTGGTCGTGTTGCTGCTTCTTCTCCTGCTGATCGAGAGCCGCTGCATTCAGCTGGCAGAGCACGTAGCGATCGCATTGCGGCGACTTCGAGATGTATCTGTAGGCGCGGTGGACTTTCAGCACCGGTTCAATAACCTGTTTGGCATTGGGTCCATTGTTGGTGGAGTCGATCGAGTGCGTGAGCCATGGAAAAGAGGAGAAAACATCAGCGTAATTAGTTTAATTTGCTCAAAGCTTAGGAATTAGTATGAATGCGGGGTGGAACATTACAACTGGAAGCCTTGATTTGGTCTTTGAATTTTATGTTTTGTTTTTCAATACTATATAATCAACACATATATAATCTAAACTTTTGTTCAAGGGCATTTCACAGACTATTCTTTAATTTTTTTAATAAATTTAAATTGTTTGAATAAAGAAGGAGGCTCTAAAATCATTTCATTTATGAAACTAAGCTTTCTTTCAATTGATAAAATTAAAGGCTTGTTCTGAACAATGATGCTTGACTCCGACTTTTCTAAAATAAGCTCCGAATTAATGCATTCCCAGTTGCCATACACGTGAGAGTGTCTTTGAGGTGCATCAATTTATCTCGCAGATACCTAGAATTGTTATCTAATTAGAGCTGCTCATTTTACCGCAGCTATTTCCTACTTGCGGATAAGGAGCTGCAATTAATGGCCAAGTGACCCAGTTCCCAGATCAGAGCGTCTGCTTACCTCCAGGTTGAGCGTATCCGTCAGCTTGTCGCTGATCTCGGTGGCATTGAACTGGAGTAATCCGCGTGCCTGGCCGAGTTTCAGCAGCTCCTTGGCATAGCCCACCGCCGGCTTAACGTACTGCCTGGAGTCGATCTTAACGTTCAGGTGGTGCTTGGCCACATGGTCCAAGAGATTCGAGATGGTCTCGCCGGGTCGGGAGGGATCGAAGTGGGTCTGCTTGGGGTAACCTTGAGACTTCAGCAGGCCGTTAAACATGATCTGTGCCGTCTGGAAGTACCTGTGGGAAAGAGTGGAAAAGCGGGCCGTTGATGAGATTCGATGACGCAGCACGTCGAGTGAAAGGGTCGCTAGAAAGTGGAAGTTGTGCTCTGCCGCTGGCCATTGTTGTTGCTGTCTAATGATGGGGCAACGCGAAAAAGAAATAGAAGACCAAGAAGTCTGAGAAGCCTGACCCACTTTAAAGTCATGCAAAAATGTCTTGTACACTAAGAAAAAATAATTTCAGCTTAGATTAGATAATACCAGCATTGTTATTTTGAGGTCGAAAATAATTTTAAATATAAATTGGATATGAATATGCTTTCGAATTCCTTTATTCACTTTTCCGATAATACGTCTAAGAATGGTTCCTATTTTTTATGTATGCAGAGGTCTTGTTTCGTTCAAAATAATTTGCATAGATATAAAATGTTCTGTAAATTACAAGGGAATTAAAAGAAAGACTACTTATAATTCTCAAGTGTGTCAAAGCGCACTTAAGGTTTTTTTGCAATGGCAATATACGGAAATAAATGGAGAAATTTTGTTTGTACTTCGATAAGAAACACTTGACTTTTCGGACAAGTGTACCCTGCCTTCCCAAGCAATTTCCCCTGACCAAAGCTGGCAACCGGTTTTGGCCCGCTTTGTTTATTTGTTTGTTTTAACGATGCCGTTGACTTCTGTATCTTCTGCATATCAACTGTAACTGTATCAGAGCCTGGACTTGAAACTGGGAACTTGGGACTTGGGACTGTTGACCAGTTGGATTAGCAGGCACGTTCTAAAAGCACCAGCACCGAAAAAAGTGGGTCAAAAGGTAGAACATGCTCGATGGGAAACGGGTTGTCGCTAACGGGAAATGGTTAGCACAGGCTTCGAAAGCAGCTGCTTGGATTCGGAATAGGAATAGGAATCGGATTTGGACTTGGACTTGGACTGGGTCCAAGAATCGCAGCCAGGTGCTAACTGCATTGGGACCGCTGCAGAGCAGAACGTGATCCACAATTAACACGCTTTGCACTAGATATAGATTGAGCCACGTAAGCCGGTGGAACTCACCTGAGATAAACATCGGGATTGGCCAAATAGCTGGCCCAGTCGGCCAGGTACAGTGTGGCCGACTTGATCCACCTCCGGCGGAAGGACTGGTTGTTCAGCGATTCGAACAGCTTGTCGTAGTCCAGCTTTCCATCGTTGCCCTTGAAGCCCTGAAGAGAAGATAAGTAGAATGATTAGTATACAAATTTTAAAATTAAGACTTAATAAGAAAATATATAATTGGAAAAAACCTCAATGTCCTTTAGTTTTTTTAATAAAATAAATAAATAAATAAAGTTTTCATATATTAATTTGGACTAAGCAAAAACATCTCTAATATAATTTGAAATAATTTTTCAGGAATACATATTTTACTTTGCCATTTGCTCTATTGGATTTTTCCCTCTTATTTATTTTCTACTACAAAATATTCTGTAATCCTTCTGTGTTAGATTACTCCTAGTAAAATTCAATTCACCCGAATTTTGTAAGTTTTCTAAATATCTTTATTAATTATTATCATTCTATTGACTCCTCAGATTAGAACATCCACTCTCTCTGTATTTTAATATAATGTAATAAAACAAGACATCTAAAACTGCCTCTACTTATTGAAAACCCAAGAACAGTCTTTCCTAAATCTAGTAAAAATCCTCTTCAGATATCCACCTTCATGATCTTGTTGACTCCGGATTTCTCATATAGAGCGTCCGCCAGTTCCGAGTTGGAGAAGTGGTCCCACAGCACGTGGATGTGCTCGAGGAATGGGGGCAGCACCCAGGCATGGCTCTTGTGCTTCTCCTGGGTGTGCTGACCCTCGGGACCGGCGAAGGAGCTGACCGCCTGCATCACCAATGGCAGTAGATTCATCAGTCCGTTCGCGCTTTCCGGCTCCTCGCCGGCAGATCGTTTCTGGTGATGGTGGGAGCTCTTGTCGTTGCCCTGGGTGTTCATGAAGGCCGAGGCCACCTGGAGGATGGTGTCCAAGCCAATGCCGGATTCGGAACCGCCGCCATTGCTGCGCTTTTGATTGGGAGTGGTCTCCTCATCGTCACCCTGGGTGAACATCTCCAGGACATTGCCGATGATGGAGGGATCGAAGCCGCCGCCGCCGCCCTGACCACCACTCTTGGACAGAAGGCTGCCCAGGCCCGAGAGGATCTGCATGGCTCCGCCAGCGCCGCCGCCACCTGCTCCTCCGGATTTGCCACTGGCCTGCATGAAGGTGCCCAGCAATGAGGCCACACCCGCCAAACCAGCTCCTCCACCGCCTCCGCCACCTCCTCCGTTGTTGCCGCCATTCTGACTGGACAACGCCTCCTGGAACAACATGGAGGCCATGTCCAGCAGCGGATTGGACTCGTCCTCGCTGGCCAGAGAAGGACTCAGCGGCTGGAGGCACAGCAGGCAGGCCAAGAGCAGAGCTCGTCGCACGTACATTTTGTTCTTCAGGAACTTTCACAATCACACACTTGAGATACTTTTGGGCCAATTAAGCGACGCAGCCACAAAACGCGGAAGACGCTCCACTGAGCACACGGAATGGGTATATGTATATATCTACAGCGAAATACTGCCAAGATCGGAGATCGGAGCGTTAGGCAACCAGCACAGCCGAAAACTTTCTTTCTTCTGCGGCACTGCGCCAGCGTGTAACACTTCTTAAGCCAACGATTCTTGTGGCCTTCTCGGCTGGCTCTCCCGCTCTTCCCCCTTCCCCACTTCCCGCACCCCGATCACCGACCCCCGATCCCCATTTCTCTCACCTGTCTCTCCGAAGACTCTCTCGCGGAATTCTTTACGCCTGCGCTTCGCTTTGTACACGTCAGGTTTGCCTCCTTGTCTCCACAAATAAACGGGACAAAAAGAGGTGGCGGGGAAAGGGAGAACCACTTTGCTTTCTACAGATAAAAAATACAATGATTAACTTGGACTAGGAGTGTATATAATTTTGTTACAAAAAATATAATCAGGTTTTTAAAAGGTGTGATTTCAGTTGAAGACAGAGGGCACAACCATATTTACCTTAATATTTAATAGCTATAATTACATTTATACATTGGCGTTTGTTCTGAATATTTTATGTTTTGTTAAGATCAAGTTAAGCTTTTTTTTAAATAATCAAGAAATCGTTTAGTATGGATCTTCATTTTAGAAAAATGTTTGTATTTGATTTGTAGTCTCAAGAAGGAGGTTTTATCTTTCAGTTAAACAAAGAAAGCCAACTGTAATTGATGTTCACAAGTTATTTTTTTATTTACAAAACTTTAATTTTATTTTGATAACATCTTTTTTTTGAGTGCCCTGTTCTATGGCTCACACTTTGTTTATGTTTCCTACCTACCCACCTACTTTCTTTTTACACACGCTCGTCCGCTTTGAAAGTTCTCTTCTCGGAATGGTGGTTGGTGGACATTGGAAGTCGGATTCGGAGACAACGTTTTCGTTAAAGCCGCCTGCTTGGGCTTTTTATGTAAATACGAGTATCAACACGACTTTTGGGTCTCTTTTATTGGGTATGCCATGAATGTTAAGCTCTTGGTCACGTTAACGACATGGAGGAAATAATCTTGGGCAATTGAAATGAATACTATTTTAAAAATAAAATAAATTAGTTTTCAGGAAACCGGGACTGCTATTTTTAAAATAACACCTTTTCGAACTCAAATTTCATTCCACGACTTCATTTATTTAACGAAATCCTGATATATTTTTGAACGCCTACTCTAAACAAACTGAAATCAGTTTGTTTCGAAGATAAAATTATTTCAAATTTAAATTTAATAATGTCCTATATTTATTCCTATATTTATTCCTATATTTAAGAGTATCTCCTGTTGCCTTAAAATTCTCAAATCATTTCCAGTTCTTTGAGCAAACCATTCGAGAGCTTGGCACATTTGTCACCTGGACTGTTTGTGGGTTCGACTTGGCTCTCGTCATGGCCCATTTCGATTTTATTCAACAAATGGATTGCACTGTGCCCGTTACATAAATTTATAATCTGTTTAATGGGACCGTCAGGCGAAGCTAAAGAGGTATAACGCTTTTCTAGCTCTATACTTTCTTTACGAACTTCTAGATTCCAAGATGACCTTTCCCTATAAATCAGTTATTAGCATAATCTATACTTTAGGTTAAGTTTCGTGTTGAATTATGGAAATGGAAACCCATTAAGTTACGAATTTGAATACTCCATTCACTTTTAACTACTTTCAACGTTTAGGAATTGTTATTTTCACTTGGGCATTCAAAAGTACGCGGTTTTTTTTTAATTGTTTACGATGACGCTCGATATTATCGGCTGTTGAAAAATTTAATGGAACGGCCATCTTTTCTAAAAATACAAAATATTGACTATTCTCTTTAATTATTATTTATTTTTTATTTTTATTTTTATAACACTTAACAGTAACTATTATCAGAAAATATTAATTCCATAAGGCTCTTTTCTTGCTAATTGATTGGCAATAACCAATGAAATATTGAACAGTGTAACTATCGATAACTCTGATTGCCATCTGGCAACACCCTCACCAGCTGTTGGGCTGCGCAGAAAAGACCAAAAGTTAATTTTCTTGTTATTGTTAAAGAAACTCTAAAAATTAACTATTATTGTGGGCACTTTGCAGCGTAAGTGCAGACAGGATGGGCAATCAACTGGTGGGCATTGCCCCTTCGCAGATCTACGCGGTGGAGCACTATTTTTCCGGACAGTTCGGGTCCGAAATCACCTTCAGTTCCAAGTGAGTGAAAAAAATTAATTTTCCGAGGAAAATTGTTGACACCCACGAATCACCCATTTTCCACAGCATGGGCAGCACGCGATTCTTCAAAGTGGCCAAGGCGAAAACGGATGAGGGCCAGATCGTGGTCAAAGTATTTGTGAAGCATGATCCCACATTACCACTGGAGGATCACAAGGAGCGACTGGAGGGCATCAAGAAGACACTCTCGCTGGCAAATGCAGTCAATTGTTTACCCTTTCAACGGGTGGAGGTTTGTTTTCCAGACAACTTGTTAAACTTTATCATGACCAACCGATTGCACATAATCGAAATTTATTGGTTCATTTGTAATTTGACCACAAAACCAATTCCTTTTATGAATTAGTCTTATCTTCATTTATGTTGAGTCATAACGCATCAATAATAAGGTTAACTCATAAAATGAATAATGGAAAAATGAAGTAGTCTATACATTCGTAAGACATCTATTAAAATTCCTTCTCTTTCAGCTCATTGACAAAGCCGCCTACATAATGCGGGAGTATGTAAAGCACAGTCTGTACGATCGCGTGTCCACACGCCCCTTTCTCACGGTGCTGGAAAAGAAGTGGATCACATTCCAGATCCTGTGCGCCTTGAATCAGTGCCACAAGCAGAAGATCTGCCACGGGGACATCAAGCTGGAGAACATCCTGATCACCTCCTGGAACTGGATCCTGCTCTCGGACTTTGCATCCTTTAAGCCCACATATTTGCCAGAGGACAACCCCGCGGACTATACGTACTTCTTCGATACGAGTAGGAGGAGAACCTGCTACATAGCCCCCGAGCGATTCGTCAAAACACTGGCCTCGGATGATGATGGTGGCAACGGCAACATGTCGGTCATTCACACTGATTCCATTATTCGCCTGGCGCCCAGCTATGCCGGCAATACATTGTTACCAGCCATGGACATCTTTTCGGCGGGCTGTGCCTTGCTGGAACTCTGGACGGAGGGCACGGCGCCCTTTGAACTCTCCCAGCTGCTGGCTTACAGACGGGGTGAGCGCGATCTGGTGGAGAAGCATCTGGCTGGCATCGAAAACGAAGGGCTGCGCAACCTGCTGGCCTCCATGATCGACATCCACTCGATGAACCGAAAGAGTGCCGAGGACTACCTGGATCAGGAGCGCGGTCAACTGTTTCCAGAATATTTCTACTCCTTCCTCCAGTCCTACTTGCAAATGTTCAGCTCAACGCCAATCATGTCGCCGGATGACAAGATCCAGTGTCTGCATAAGGACATCGGGCACTGCATAAAAGTGCTGACTCAGGTGCAGGATTTGTCACCGGAAGAGGAGAATAAGGATGGTCAGCAGGAGAAGAAAGACCCCACGCTGTGTGCACGGCTACCGCCGGAGCACGATGGTCTTATTCTGATCATCACAGTGGTCACGTCCTGCATTCGAGGTCTCAAGCAGTCGAACACCAAAATTGCAGCCTTGGAACTCCTACAGAAGCTGTCCAAGTACACGACTTCGGAGACCATCCTGGATCGCATATTACCCTACATTGTGAGTGCTTTTCTTTTTTTTCAACGTACTTTACTTTCTGACATTGGTGCTTTTTCAATTTCAGCTCCATTTGGCCCAGAAATCGCCAGCCAAGGTACAAGTTCAGGCCATTGAAACGCTTACAGCCTGTCTGGGCATGGTAAAGGACATTCCGCGCAGCGATGCCAACGTGTTTCCCGAGTACATCCTGCCGTTCATCACGGAATTGTCCAGCGAGTCGAGTGCCGTGATTGTTCGCGTGGCCTTCGCCCGGAATATTGCTGCACTGGCCAAGAGCGCTGTTTACTTTCTGGAGGAGACGCAGCGCAATGCTCCGAATGAGATGCCCACTCCACGTTACGAGGCTGAGCTGAATGCTCTCCATGACATCGTAAGACAGGCGGTACTCAGTCTGCTGACGGATTCCCAGCCGGTGGTCAAGCAAACTCTGATGGAGTCGGGCATTTGCGACCTGTGCGCCTTTTTTGGCAAGGAAAAAGCCAACGATGTGATACTCTCGCACATCATGACCTTTCTAAATGATGAGGACAAGAATTTGAGGGGAGCTTTCTATGACAACATTGCCGGAGTGGCTGGCTATGTGGGATGGCAGGCGTCGGACATTCTGGTGCCCCTGTTGCAGCAAGGGTTCACGGATCGCGAAGAGTTTGTCATCGCAAAAGCCATTCGTGCGGTGACCATTCTCATCGAACTGGGTCACATCAAGAAGCCAGCGGTGACGGAAATCGTCCAGGAGACAGCCTGTTACTTATGCCATCCCAATCTGTGGGTTCGTCACGAGATCTGCGGCATGATCGCCACCACCGCCCGCAACCTTAGCGCCATCGATGTGCAGTGTAAGATTATGCCAGCAATTGGCGCGTTTCTCAAGGCGCCGCTAATCCAGGTGGAGAAGCCACACATTCTGTTGGACTGCGTGCAGCCGCCAGTGCCGCGGCAGATCTTCGACAGCGTGCTGCGCTTCCAGGACATTCATCACTTCCTCAGAGCGCTCCAGGATCGATCGAGGGTGCGTAGCCAGACCAGACATGGAGCCCTGCCGCAATACGAGGAGATGGGGCAGACGCTGAGGAATGTGAGTATAAGTTTCTTTAAAGTTTAAGCTATATTTTTTAATTTTTACAATATCCATTTACAGCTTTTTAGACGCCTAAGCTCTGAGGGATTGACGGATCTCATTGAGATGCAGCTGCTGGCCATGAACCCGTTCCTGATCTCCATGAAGCATAAATCCCTTCAGGATCTGGACGACACTGCCTCTGGCAATGGGCGCATCGTGGTCAGTCGCAAGCAAGTCGCTTGCCATGAATATCCGCTGGCGGACAAGGCCACTAAAATGCCCTTAGAGATCCGTAAGTCTATAATTTCCGTAAGGGGATTCATGCTCATTGATTTTAATTGGGTATTAAACAGTCTTCTTAATTACTTCAAATTCATTTAATACTTTTTTTCAAATAAGTAATTGCTTCTATGAACTTCTCAGATATTTTTAGTTCTGGATTGTGGGAATTTATGCGCTGAAAAATAATAATTCCAGGGAAGACATTCAAATTGTTTGGTTGCGAACGTATAAAGAGATTATTTTTGGATTCCAATCCCTTAAATTTTTTTTATTTTTATTGAAAATTGTGTATTTTTGTGACTGAAATAAAGTCTTTATTCCATCACTGACTTTAATTTTTGTTTAAATATAAAAGAAACGAGCTTATACTTGCCAATTACCAATGTTTAAATATTAATGGTATTATATTCAACGAGACCAAACCTTTGATCAAAGTAATATTAACTGATGGCCATTTCTTTTTGCAGGATCTAGCGAGGGACCGACATTGGTGTCCCCCGCCTCGGATGCAGCGATCACACCGCTGGGCACTGGCGGATTGGCCGGCAGTCCAGCCTCCGGAGCTGTGGTCCTTGGCGTGCCGACTGCCACCGTGAGTGCGGCCACTTCACTGGGCGAGTACACGATGCCGGAGCGGAACTGCTGGCTGGAGCGCTCCTCCGAGTGCCGCAAGGATCTCGAGTCGCTGACGACCAAGATTAAGAGTCGCTACAACGTGCTGGCCATCTCGCAGCGCTGCAGCTACGACAAGTTGGTGACGCCCTATTCCCCTGGCTGGCGGATGAACGGCACCCTGGTGGCCCATCTTCACGAGCACTCGGAGTCCGTGATCAAGCTGGCATCGCTGCGTCCCCACGGATCACTCTTTGCCAGCGGTAGCATCGACGGCACCGTGCGACTGTGGGACTGCAGCAAACTGAACGGCAATCAAGGGGTGAACAAATCGAGGCAGGTGTACTCGGCCAACACGCCCATTTACGCCCTGGCCGCCTGCGACAGTGGACAATCGCTGGCGGTGGGCGGCAAGGATGGCAGCATGCTGATGATGCGCATCGATCGGAACTCCACCAAGATGACGCTCCAACAGGCGCTGGATCAGAAGTAAGAATTTACCTAAAATTATATCTTGATCTTGTGTTGAAAGGCCAATTTTTGTATCATACACGTTACTCTTAGAGTAAAAGGTATATTTTTATATTAGAAAACGTCGATTTCTTTACGAAATCAAGAAACAAGAACTTTAGGATTTATCATGCAGTTTCCACGCAGTACTTATATATTATTATATGCCGTAGAAAAATGGTAGATACATTTTTGTTTGCCTTATACAATAATTCATAATTCATAAACACATAACTAATAAGTTTGTTTATTTTCTCCTTCTCAACCATAGTGATCATAAAGACGGGCCCGTTGTGGACATGCATGCCTACGATCAAGCTACGCAAAGTGTCATCGTGTACGCCACGTTGTACGGCGGAATCGTGGCCTGGGACACGCGGATGCAGCACAGCGCCTGGCGACTGCAGAATGAACTGCGGCATGGGGTGATCACCACCATCTGTGCGGATCCCACGGGCTCTTGGCTGGCCACCGGCACCAGCGGAGGCAAACACATTTGCTGGGACCTGCGCTTCCGCCTGCCCATCGCCGAGATCAAACATCCGGCCGACTCCTGGATAAGGAAGGTTGCCTGCCATCCCACGGAGCCCTCATATCTCATCTCCGCCTCGCAGTCGAACAACGAGGTGTCCGTGTGGAACATCGAGACGGGTCAGCGCCAGACGGTATTGTGGGCCAGTCCGGTGGCGGCCTTGTCCAGCGCCAGTCCCAGCGATCCGGCCACCACGTGCGGCATCCTCAGTGGTGTGGTCGACGGCTCGCCCTTCATTCTCACAGGCAGCTCGGATCAGCGCATCCGGTACTGGGACATCGTCAACCCCAAGAACTCCTCGCTCAAAGTGCCGGCTGCCAATGATAATCTGGCGGACGTGGCCTTCAGCTACAGGTACTTATCAATTTTGTTAGCTTTAAATTTAGTCGAACACACTTTATATTATTGCTTGATTTCCTTTTCAGTGTCCGCTTAATTGATGGCAGCCAGGTGGTCGAGGAGCAGATCATTTCCATGGCCAGCACGGGTGACTCGCAGCAGCTGCGCTCCTCCACGGAGGAGAATCCCCGGTCGGGGCCGGATATGCCCACGGCGAGTCACCACGACGCCATCACGGATCTGCTGATGTGCAAGGACAAGGGCCAGATCTACATAGCCTCGGCATCGCGCGACGGTGTCATCAAGCTGTGGAAGTGAGCGCCCGCTATATAGTATTTAATTATTCAACTGTGATTAGCCTAATTAACTGCAATATGTGTAACTATTAAATAAACTGCTTGTAAACTGTGGCCTCTCGTTTTTAAAATAACAAGTCGCGTTGATTTTTATTTTTTTTATAGATTTTGGAGAGGTTTCTCTTCCAAGTCGAAAAATGTTGTCAAGGTTCTTAAGCTAGAAGTAAAAAACTTAAATTCATTTAAATATTTCAAATGATTTGTTAATATTTTCTATTAATTCAAAGTAAGCTGAGCCTTCAATGTCAGTGTTTCAAACTCGTCAAAACTCTCCTACTTATGCGAGAAGTTCAACTTTTCCGTTCAAACAAGTACGCATTTCCGAAGCTGGATTTATTCTTTAGTTATTTTTTGTTCTGCTTAAAAGTTTTGGTTTTTATTTCGCTTAATTATTTTCTTCAAAAAGTTCTATCTATATTAGATGGTTTATGTTTTTAAAATTTCGTTATTTTGTTAGTTTGGTTCATTCCTGCTTAACAGAACCGTGCAAAAAAGGAACAAATAAAGCGGCCGAATATCTAAACCATCTGAAAATTGTAAGTATTTGAAGTCATGTTTTTGAAATAACATTTTTTTAAGAGATTTGGCTTTGATTTAATTACGTTCAAAATTCAAATTTGAATTTGAATTTTAAATTTTGTTCCAAGTGATCGATTGTTTTCCGTTAGATTTAAAAGATCGGTTCGCGCACTCGCTCAAAAGAGCGATGGTTTAAGTCGCGGCTAATGCCAAATCCCTAATTCTATTTAAATCGATAAGCCAGACCCGATGCATCGATAGCTCCATCGATTGTTACCACCTAAACTGTACTAGTAGCGTGCGCGTATTTTACAATTAAAAATTGCCCAAGCAAGTAAGTAAGCAAGTAAGCGTTTTCCTGGTCTCCAAAAATTATGGTTTTTCTGCAAATTTTTCACATTATTTTTCTACATTTTTCCGCATTTGAATCGGTGACTAAATTGTTTTTTCTGCATATATTTTTCCAGCTCGATTTTCGGCAAACAAAAAGCGGAGAAGAAGAGGAGGCAAGCGAAAATAATAGTGCCAGTGTGTGCGTGCAAGAGAGAGCGCGTTTCAGCAACCGTCTGTGTTTGTGTGTGTGTGCCCGCTTGCGATTGTGTGTGTGAAGGGACGCCGCTAAAAAAGGCGCAGAAAAAAAAGGATTTTCTTTATTCCGCTTGCTAATTAAATCGCTTCCAAACATGGAGGAAGTTGCTGTTAAGAAGCGCGGCCGGCCACCAAAGTCCGGTGCTGGAGGAGGCGGATCGTCAGCCGTGGCTACATCGCCAGGCGCGAAAAAACGCGGTCGTCCCGCCAAGAATAAGGGTGGTGCTGGTGGCGGCGGGGGGGTCAGCGGGGTCGTCCGCCCAAGGCGGCCAAAATCCAAAAAGACGACGACGACGACGAGGAGGAAGAGGAGGAGCCAGAGCATGAGGAGGAGCAGGAGGCCTCCGACGAGGAGCAGAACAACACCTCCCCCCCGCCGGCGAAGGGCAGGGGTCGTCCCAAGGGGAGCGGTGGCGAGGGGGTAAAGACGCCCGGATCAGCCGCCAAGAAACGCAAAGCCGGCAGGCCCAAGAAGCACCAGCCCAGCGACAGCGAGGAAGAGGGTAGGTCCAAAACATTTACTATCATAAGACGCCTTTTCAGGTCTCATTCATGTACAGTATGCACACAATATGCCAAAACAACGCAACAACAAATGCAAGATTGCATTCTATGCACTGTGTATCTCGAATGCAAATATTTTGCACTTTATGCTCTCAATAGTATGGTATTCCCATTTTGCCTTAAATAGGTTTTCTCTGACAAAGAAATTCGAGTTACGTTAAACTAATTATTTTTTGTATATAATAAAAACTTAATTTATTTAGTAGTTTTGTACAGTATGCACTCAACTATGAAAAAACCGGAAAGGCTGTTTGCGCCACACTTCGCAGTTTTTGTTTATTTTTAAAAATCTGATTATTCAGTTTGCATCAATTAATGCAAAAAAAAAGATGCATTCAATCTTGTGAATTCCCATTATCCTTTCTTTTTTTTGGCTTTTGTGCACAGTGTGTACTTAATATGCAACACACATAAGAAGTTCGTTTCAAGATCGTAATAATTCCAAATCTTTGTAATCTTCAAATCTACTATGAGTTCCGCATTTTATTTCGCACTTAGGTACAGTACTGCCTAATATTCAATAACTATTTGCATTCTTAGCTTTGTTGTTTTTGATATTTTGTTTTTATATTTTTTCATTCAAAGACTCATCACGACTTTCATTGTTCATAATTTCATTTCCCATTTTAAATAATTTGTTTCTTTCAAAATATTAGCATTTTCGTACTTCTGTATGTATCCCTTTAAAAGCATAACTGCACACCTTGGCAAAAGAATATCCACGTGCTGTAATTGATTTGAAAAAGGCGGCATTTTCGTTTGGTTATCGTTTTCTGGTTTGTTTTACACGAAATCCTAACGCTACCTGAAGACTTACACAGAACTCAGGTAGAGTCCAAGGTCTCAACCTCGAACCTTTTCGTTGCGATAGAAACGGTCGTTTAGAAATGGGAAGAAATTGTGGCTTGGTTCACATACCCAACAAAAGACTTAAAACTTATGTAGTATGAAATGTAAAGATTAGGATACAATGCAAATTCATTTCACGATCTAAAATAGTGGATTCCCAAGTTTATATTAGTAGAGGAGTTTGTTTGTTCTTATAGTTTGTTTTATTACTTAAGGCCAAAACTCTGAACCTCTTTAAAGCAATACAAAATCATGTAGTTTTCGCCTGGATTTGGGTTTATCCTTTTCCCGTCTCTTTGCATTGTTTTCTAACTATTTCCATATCCTGCATTGTTCCACAGAAGAACAGGATGACGCCGATGATGGTAGCAGCGTTGAAGAGAAGCGTCCGTTGGGTCGGCCACCGACTGGAGCCGTCCAGCTGAACATACAGCGCACGGGACGCGGCCAGGGAAGACCGAAGAAGAAGCGGGCAGTGGTGTATAATGGCGATGGCGATGGAGATGACGACGCCGATGCCGATGGGGAGCAGGGGCCCAGGAAGCGCGGTCGTCCGCGACAGCACAAGTCCGGCAGCACCGCCTACGTGCCCACCGGTCGCCCACGCGGTCGTCCAAAGGCAAATGCCGCTCCGGTCGAGAAGGCGGTGGCCGAGGACAATGGCGAGGATGAGGAGGATGAGGATGAGGAGGCCTCGGTGGAGGAGGTGCAGAGTTCGCCAGCGAAGACGCCTGTGGCGCCGAAGAAGCGAGGACGCCCCTCCCTGGCCGCCGCCAAGTCACCCAAGGAGGGCAATCCCAAGCCCCGTGGTCGTCCCCCGAAAGTAACCAGCGATGACGCAGACGACGCCGATTCCACCGACCAGGCCGAGCACAACTCGAAGGAGAAGTCGAACGATGAGGGACGTCGCCCGGGCGGATCCCCCACAACCAAGGGAGATGGCCTTAAATGGAACTCCGATGGCGACAATGATGCCAACGAGGATTATGTTTCGGACGTCTACAACGATGCCGAATCGGTAGCCGCCTAAAAATTTAAAAATACATTTCCACTCACCACCCCCCAAAACCAACAAACAAAAAAATGAATATTGAAAAAGGAAAGGAAATTCATTATCTACTAGTAAGATGAAATGAAACCTTAAGCACACAAGACCACAAAATACAAAAAACCCAGAAGAGGTCGAACAGGACTCCTGAGAACCTTCCCCTCCTCGAACAACAAACTATAACTACATACATATTCCGATTTATTGCAAAGAAATCGGAGAACGCACTCCACTGTAATGACGTGTAAATCGGAAAATATTGTTTAATTTGATTTAAATTTTCAAATAAATAACATATATGTATTAGAGTAGCCGATATGTTTCTCTTTGGGGGAAGGTTCCAAGGAAGACCATATCATTTTTGCTGAATAAGAAAGTATTTCATTGTAATAATGTAATTCTATTCGGTTGCAGCTAATTAAATTTTTGCAAATTTAAATAAACATAAAAATGGGTGTTTTTTTGGAGGGTTTAACAAGTCTGGGCCTTTCTTATATATAAAAGGATAATATAAAGATTCTTAAACGTGATACAAAAAATAGCTGCTTTGAATTCGAGTATTTGTACACAATTTATGCAAATCAATTGGTTATTGTACCTAGTATTCACTGTAAAATATTTTGTGAAATACACAAAGCTCGTTTATAATAAACTATTCTGGGAGGAGTATTGATTTGAAAAGTATCAGGTGTAAATTAAAATTAAATTAAGCTAATCAACTTTCAGAAGATACAAAAGTATATTGGCATTTTGAAATGGGGTAGTTTTTAACGGAAATCGGTATATTTAGGCTAGCTTTATAATTCTTTAGTATTTTTTAGTACGTTTCGAAAAAGGATATTTGAACGGTTGCGATGCTGTCACACTAAATGTTCGCGCGTAAGAAGAAGCAGACCTAGAACGGCGTGCTTGTAATATGTAAATTTTTCAAATAAGCTAAGGTGTGTGTGCCCAACAACAACGAAAAATGAAAAGAGTACTATAACTGGTACAATTAAGTGATAAATATAACCATGTTTTCGCATATCCAATCGGAAGGAAAAAAGAATTAAATTTGCGGCTGCAAAAAAAATTAGAAATTGATAAAAAAAAGCCGCAAACAAAAACAAAACAAACACCCTGGTGTGTGTATGTACATATGCGCTAGTGTCCGAGTGCGTGTGTGTGAGCATGTGTTTGTGTGCGTCTGGCGTCTAATCAAATTTGGCATGCCCTAAAATCGATTGATAAATAATATATAAACAATTTGGCTGGCGAAACGTAATTCATTTGCCAGGGTGAATAAAAAAGAGGGGTGATAGAAGGACTAGAAAATGTGTAATCAATTTATATAAATATTTTGCGCGCATGTTAATAAAAGTAAAATAAATTGTCGGTCTTTTGGGCTCCCTCTCTCTCTGTGAGCATGCCCACTCGCTCTCTCTGTTGATTTTGCACGTTTGCCAACACTGCTCTTATTTTGGGGTTCTTGTTCTCTCCTCTCTCTCCTTCGCTCTTTGTTGTAGTTGTATTTGGCCAGTGTGTCTTTGCATTTCGCTTTTATTATCGTTCTGCGACGGACGGCGGCGACGTTGAAGAAATTCCTGGCCGATTTCTTCTTCATCATCCTGTGTAAATAATTGTAATTTAAATAATCTAAATTTCGTATTAAACGAAAGCACACACACCATCAAAGGAAATGCAAATGCGAAGGCTTTTTTAAGTTCATGTGTAAGTGTTTCGAAAAAGAAAAACCGTAAAATACTCCTGTTTCGTTTTACATTGTCATCATCGGGTTTCCTTTTTCACTACGGCGGCATGTGTGTGTATTTCCAGACCGCTTTTTGTATATATGCAAACATGTATAAATAGTTTGCAAATTTACTTGATATTTTGCCCGAATAACGTAAAAATCAATTAAGTGAGTGTGCCTGAATATTGATATGATTCCTTTTTTGTTGGTGAAATATTTTTCCGATTGTGCGTGTGTGCAAATGTGTGTGTTTCATTATTTCCTTATTCCATAGTGTTCTTCCTTTTTTTTTGAGCGGCGGCCATTTGGCTGCTCTGCTTCTTCCTCCTCTCCCTCCTCCACCATCCTAATGTGTGTGTGCGTGCTCTCTCTCCCTCTCTCTCGGGACGCCTTGCATTTGTATATACGTAATTTTCCCAATAAGAACACTTGACTACTAAAATATTAAATTATTCGATGGGCTTTTATAATTAATGATTTGTTAGCCGTGCCTCCTTTGTTTTTCAGGCATCTCTTTTATGGTTTATCTTTGTTTGTTTTTATATTCCCGAGTGTGCGTGTGGGTGTGTGCGTGTTTCCAGGGGCCCAGCAATCACTCTCTCTCGCTCTCTATCCCTTTTCGCATGCTGCACTTGTCTCTCTGCTAAGGCGTCGTTTTGGGGGGGAGGTGTCGGAAAATAAGAGATGGAGATTCTCGTAAACAACCCAAAAAAATCCGACCCACTCGCATTCTTCTCGTTGAAAACGTAACCTCAAATGTTGCGGCCGCCTTTCGCCTTCCTTCGTCTTCGTTTCGGTTTCTTTGCCATTCGCTCATCGTCTGCCGGCATCGTTGTTGCTGTTGTTGTTGTTCTTGCTCCTCCGTGTGTATGTTAATTTTATGTGTTTTCCATTTTCAACCGCCCCTCTCCTAACGCCCCACCACCCCTTCAACCGTCCCATTTACGCCTGCTGTCTTTGCGCTTTTTGTTTCCCTTCGCGGGGGGCGCTATAATTCTGTCCAGAACTTTGCCAAGCACCAGATATATATATATTTAAGATCATTAAACCAAACGATGAACTAACTAGGGTTTTCGTATAAAGAGTTTTTTTGTATCCCAGTTTCTAAACGTTTTTGATTTGAAAGGAACTCACCTGATAAACCTTTAACTAATAATGTTGGTACCTCGTTTCAATTTTAATTTACTGTTTATATACGTTTATTATTTTAATCCTTTTCGTTGCTTTAATTTACACAAATTAAGTAACTTGTTGGGCCGAACTTTTTATAATTTTATAATTTCCAAAGTTTATAAGCGATTTTATTAAGTTTGGTCAGTGCTTATAATATGGGTTTTTATCATTTTTCTTTATCTCTGAATACTCATTACTATTATTATTATAAATCCAATTCTTATCTTTTTCATACTTTTTGTTACGATTTTAAGCGTTTATGATAGATAATGGCCAAAACTTGAAAATTGTTTGTAGTTTAAGGGTTATTATAATTGTATGTACATTTTATTACCATTTATTTTTTAATCAAAGTTTTTAAACAAAGTTACTACTTTTCATTTTTTAATTTATATTTCTTTGTGTATTTAAGGCTTACAAAATAAAATGTAACAAATTAGAACATAGTACAAAATCCCAGGGCCCTCGTTAATGCATTACTTTATTTAAATTAATATATTATGCTGCTATTAAAAAATTATACGCTTTTTAGGGTATTTCTCGAATTGGTTTTTGAGAAAAGCTAATTTTATTTTCCGTATTTTTCGCGCATGATTCAGCTTTGCGTTGTTCTTCTATGGACAGTCTTCTTCTTTAACTTGTTCTTGGGACTCCTGTTCCTCAAACGACCCGCCCCCCTTTCCGCCCCATCGCATCGACTTTGTTATTGTTTTCATAATGAGGAAATCATGGCTAGTATTTGCCTTACTCGTCTTTCAGTTTTAGAAGAATTTGTTTTGCTTTTATTCGCCCCTTGTGCGCTGTATTTTGTTGATTATTATTATGCGCTCTGTCTACTGTATGTGTTATCGGATTCTTTTCTTTACCATGACCAGCTCAAAGTTTTTAATCGCACAAAAGTACAGTGGTTCGAGTGTTTTTCAAGTGGGAACACAAAATGTACCTTGTATTTCACAAAAATCTTTAAAAAAAAATAATTTAGAATTCCCATTATTCTGTTTCACCTAGGGTTTTTCTTCTAAAAAATAATGCATGGTAAACTAATCTCGTTTTCCATTATTTTTTCATTTCAGTTTGTGTATATTTTCATCATTAAAACGTCGTGTAAATTAAAATTCATCCTAATTATAATTAAAAAACTACATTAATAAACGGCAATTCCAGAATTCTCAAAAATCAATTTGTAAAAATTCAAGTTTTAACCAATTCTCATACGTAATTAAATAAATAAAGTTCAGTTTCGTTAAGTCCCAACAACAACAGCTGTGCAACTGTGTAAAATATTATTAATAATTTTTGTGTAAATTTATGTAAAAAAAAAAAACCAACCCCGACAACCAAACCAAACGAAGAAAAATAATTTTTTTTTTAGCAAAGAGTGTATGAAAAAATCTCAGCAAAGCCTGTAAATTAAATGTTAAATATAATAAGCAAAAAGTGTGGTTTCTTTTACAACAAAAACAAGTGTAAATCTGGAGAGAAAGTATAAAAAAGAGCAGAAAAAGAACAATTTGTGAATATTCGAAACGAATCGAGTTATAAAACGCGTGTGGTTAAAGAATTGAAGTAAAACCAATCAAAGTTGGCAATACGCGCAAAATTGTCAGCTGCGACAGCTAGGAAAAGCTTCCAAAATTGAGCTCCTAACCGCGCCCACAATTGCCATATCGACGCCTTCGCCGCAGCAGCAGCAGCAGCAACATCAACAGCAGCAGCAGCAACAGCAACACCAGCAGCAGCAACTCTACCAGCAACATCAACAGCAGCAGCAACATTACGGTCCACCACCGCCCTATTTTCAACAACTTCATCAGCAACACCAGCAGCAACAGCAACATCAGCAGCAGCAGCAGCAGCAACACCAACAGCAGCAACACCAGCAACACATGAAGTTTTTGGGTGGCAACGATGATCGCAATGGCCGCGGAGGAGTCGGCGTTGGCACGGATGCCATTGTGGTAGGAACTCGCGGTGGCGTTTCGCAGGATGCCGCCGATGGCTATGTCTTCCAGCAACGCCCCTCGCCGGGCGGTGTGGGCGTGGGCGGAGTGGGCGGCGGTGTGCCCGGGGTCGGTGCCGTGGGCTCGACCTTGCACGAGGCCGCTGCCGCCGAGTACGCCGCCCACTTTGCCCAGAAGCAACAGCAGACGCGATGGGCGTGCGGGGACGACGGCCACGGCATTGATGTAAGTATCCCAGATCCCTATTGATACCTATTGATTTCAGTAGCAGAGTTCCCTATTTAACTCTTCAATCCATCAAAATTAATTACCTTAAATATCATTTCCTTGAGAATAGACTAGAATAAAATGGGAGATAGAAGTTAAATCCTACCAAAATTAAAAGAGCCTTAAAATTATTTTGTTTTTTTTTAAATAACTTATGAACGAATATCGTTTCGTCACTATGTGTACTGTCGTCCACAGTGATTAATGTTTTGTTTAAGGAAAACTTTTAGCATTGCAAATTACGCAATTTGATTCGGAAGACACATTTATTTATTATTTTTCTTCAATTTTTTTGACAATTAATTTTACGTCTCGGAATTTGGTCATTTTTGCTGGGCTGCTTCTTGATTAGTTTTGGCGGCGTCTCGATTTCTTTATTTGAGGGGGTGAAAGTGGCTTTACTTCTGCCTCAGTTGACCTCCGCAGATTGTATAAGTTGCAAAGGTCGGTGTCTGCCAAAAATGGTTGCATAAACAGATTATCACAATTTGGCATTGAGACCGCAGCCAATGAAAACATAAGAAAAGGATAGCAAAGGCTAAAGAAGATGGTGAAGAAAAGTTATACATATATTGAGTAGGAAAATTGTTTATTTTTCGTTTCAACTCCTTGCCTTTAGCTGGCTTTTAATGAAAAATCTTTATTTTGATTGTTAATATATTATATATATATAAATACAAAATACATCAAATATTAAAATAATAAATGGCTTTGGTTTTAGGTTTTAAAGCTTACTATTAACTTAAAAGAGAGATTAAAATCTTAGATTGTAAAACATTATGAAAATCACAAACTTCTAAACAGTTATCAGTAAAGTTTCATATGTAAAAATTAATTTAAATTATGACTTGATTTAAGCTAAAGTTATGCTTATGTTTCATTTCCACTTGCAGAACCCGGACAAATGGAAGTACAATCCGCCGATGAATCCGGCTAATGCAGCTCCCGGCGGACCGCCAGGCAATGGAAGTAATGGTGGCCCCGGCGCCATTGGAACCATCGGCATGGGCAGTGGATTGGGCAGCATGGGCGGAGGTGGAGGAGGCGGTGGAGCTGGTGGTGGGAATAATGGTGGCTCCGGCACGAATGGTGGTATGCATCATCCATCGATGGCCGCAGCAGCCGCCAATATGGCCGCCATGCAACAGGCAGCGGCGGTGGCGAAGCACAACCATATGATGTCGCAGGCAGCAGCCGCCGTTGCAGCCCAACAGCAGCAGCAACATCAGCATCAACAACATCCACAGCAGCAGCAGGCACAGAATCAGGGACATCCACATCATCTAATGGGCGGTGGCAATGGACTGGGCAATGGCAACGGACTGGGCATCCAACATCCCGGCCAGCAGCAGCAACAACAGCAGCAGCAGCAGCAACATCCCGGCCAGTACAATTCAAATTTGCTGAATCATGCCGCTGCCTTGGGTCATATGGGATCTTATGCCCAATCCGGCGGCAATATGTACGATCATCATGGTGGAGCCATGCATCCAGGAATGAATGGTGGAATGGCCAAGCCACCGCCACTAGGTCCTCCAGGAGCCGGAGGACCGCAAGACTATGTCTACATGGGTGGCCAGACTACGGTGCCCATGGGTACTGCAATGATGCCGCCACAGAATCAATACATGAACAGCTCAGTTGTTGCGGCCGCCAATCGGAATGCAGCGGTGAGTAATATGTTAATTTATTCTCAAAAAGCGGGGGAAAATTATACTAGTCAATATCGTGTTGGTACAATACATGCACCTTTGGTTAACCTTTAGTTCAACCGATAACCGAAATATTAATCAGCCCTTTTCACTGCTAATAAGTTTATCTGGTAAACCAAACTCTTGATATGGATTGTTCATACATAGAATGCTAGTTTGACTATAAGATTTGGGTTGACTATTGGCTATTAGTAGTTCAGTTTTCCATCTTTTCAATCACGAATTTTGAAATGACTTCAATTTAATTTCTTATGTCAGAATGATGACTGAATATCCTTGAATAAATGCGTAATGGTGTTTGTCATCATTACCGATTATTGATATATGCCCATTAAATAGGAAAACCCAACTTTGCAAACACAACAAACAGAAAGTTATTGCTAAGTGGCCTTAATAGAGCCCTTACATATTTAAATCGAAAGTTTATCCCCAAATAAAAATAAAGTAGGCAAAACTTTAACCATTTCAATACACTTGATGATATTTTCATTTTAGGTTAATCAATAATTTTGCTTGCCTTTGTTTGTGTTTTTTGGGCTTTTCCCTCGTTTTTCTTAGTTCGAATTTTGGCGAAAACTTTTCCGTTTTCAATCCCCAATTCTTATATAAGGATGCTTGTTTTTTTGTTGGTTTAGGACGTTGAGTCCTTATTATTTTAATTTTGTACATTACAAACTTGGTTTGGTTTCAATTGTGGTTTAATATTTGTGAAACTATGAAACCTACGATAAGGGTTTACTACTTAATGGAATGATCTTTTTATTTCACTGAGTTTTGAAAGTAGTTCTCTCATGCTTTAAGATATTGGTTAAGTTTTTTCTACAATGTCAGTTTTTGATTAGTATCTATTTTTCTCATTTTACCACTCTTTGGGTTCTTGTTTGGCTCTTCATTCTTTTTCTTCGCGCTGTGTGAGCTGCTTTATTCGTGTCTTTGCTGCACTGCTAATGGAGATAAATGTGGAAATATAGGGGAAGAGCAGAAAGAGGCGGGGCTGCGATACATAGATCCCATTCCGGTTGCAATTTTTCAACCTTATAAAGCCAGAACATTGCACATGCCGCACAAACACACTCACTCGCATACTCACACACCTGTCCACTCACCTGTCCGTCGGTAAATCTGATGACTTGAGAACTCGACTACTGGTATTTGAGCCAGAAGCTATACTACCTGCAATTTATAAACGAAAGAATTTAATACTGGGAACTAATGAGTTGTGTGATGCTGTGGAATGGAGAAGTTCTTGTTATGTCACAATTGTTTATAGGAAATGCTATTTTAATTAAAGAATTTCACCCGTCTGGTCCTTCGCTCACCTGTTCGTGCCATCCCTTTCCAACCTTTGCTCCCGGTGATTCCCCTTGTCACCTGGCACTGCAATTTCCTTTTCACTTCCTTCGCACACAATGCAAGGCTTGCATGTGCAAGTGTGTTGGTTGCTCCGCAATCGATTATGTTTTTATCAAGCAAATTGTCGATTCGAAACATTTATGGGCTGTGCTGAAGTTTGGATACCCTTTACTATCAAAAACGAAAAAAGACATTTTTGAATTTAAAGGCAGATAATAACGCAAACTACCTTTTTGTTTATTTAAAATTAGGTTATATTTTATATAAAGATTTGATGCAGTTCATCGATAAAATATGGAATATAATAATAATGTTTGTTAAGAATTGTGTTGTTTAATTATAATTAAATTGTAAAATATTTTTATTTTTGTTTATTTGATAAGTTCAACAGAATTCAACACATAATCTATTACAAACTTTTTGTGTCTTGACTTTTTACTTCTAGTGTCACCATTTTTTATGTTTATCTTTAGAACAACCTCCTTTTGTGCAAACATTGTGCAATCTCTCTAACTCTCTCTCTTTGAGCAAAAACCATGAAGGGCAGGTTTTGAACAAGAGGAAGAAAATATTTATTGCATTTATGCGAGAGGCAGAAGGAATGGAAAGAACAAAATAAGGACCTCTTAGCAGGAGGTCCCTTAAAAATAAACCCAAAAAACTGAAGTCGTGCCAAAAGAGAGCTTCAGCAAAGTTCTTGTTGTCCTTGCGTTTTCTGTTCCTTTGTTGATATTCTTCCTCTTCCCCTTATTCGTCGTTTCCTTTTGGCGTCTGGCGCTGTTACTCCAGTTTTGTTAAGCTTACTGCTTTTGCTCTCCTTACAGAAAGCAGTGGATTGGGTCGCAAATGGAATAATAATTCTGTGTGGGGTACAGTGGGTACTCAATTTAGATGTCTATAAACATGGAACTCTGAAAAACTAAACAAAAATTTTTTTTCAAATTTAATATCTCACAAAAAATATTTTTGAGCAAAGTTTAAATGTTTCTTATTTTGTTCAAAATGAAACAAAAATTTAAAAAACAATGTTGAAGAATTTTTAATATGATGTATCTTTATAGTTTATCATCTTCAGAAATGTTGTAATTGTAAGATAGAAAGAAGGTAAATCTTATTTCTGTCGAGTCTTTCCTGTAGTTGGACTACACTTGTTTGTGGGGGGTTAAGAATCGCAGACAACGGCAACTGCCGCAGTTCGCAAAGCTCCTTGCATCTTTCTCCCCATCTATCTGCTCCCTTTTCCCACTACGTCCCGCACCTACCAAGTGCTATCTCTTTCCTTCATACTCATCTCTTCAAGAACTATCTCTCCACTCTCTCATTCCCACTTATGGCTTTGCGTGTGTGTTTGATGCGCTCTTGTTGATGTCGTAGGTCATTGATTTGCGCTTAACAGCCGGGCGGAACGAAACGGAATGGAATAGAAAAATGGGGAGCAGGAGGATGGTGAGAAAAAGAATGAGAGAGTGGATGAAGAAAGGGGAGAAGAGGTGCGACAACGATTCTTCTGTGTTGTTGTTGTTGATGAGTTTGCTCATTGTTTCACTTGCATTACTTTTTGTTGTTGCTCTGCATGTGGCGCATTCTGCTTCTTTTCTGTTTCTTTGGCCCCTTCTTCAAATTTGTTCTCTGCACAGCAAAAAAATAGATTTTTAATATAATAATTAATACTTATTTATTCACTGGGCGGTTGGACTTGAACTTGTGCAGAGGCAGAAGATCTATATTGCAATTTTCAATACAGAGATATTTTCAATTTAATATTATTTATTATTTTCAAATCGGAATAGAATACAACCTTTTTGATTTTTCATATATCGAGGCTCTTTTTCCAGTGCATGCGGTGTTCTTGTTACTGCGATTCTTTTATGTTGTCTCTGGTGCTTACTCATCCTCCGCGAGTTCTCATCCCCATCCAGTCCCCCTTTTCCCCACCTCTGTGTCTTCACCCCTCTTACATTTTGTTGTTGCTTTTTTTGCGTGTAATGATATATGTGTGTGTGTGCTTGTGAATTTGTCTCAGTGTGAGGTATCTGATTTTGAGCGCAGCTTTTTCCCCCGTTCCGTTTGCGTTTTCTGGTTGGATAATGGGTTTCCTAATTGGAACATCTCTGTTAAGAAGCTTTTCGAGCATTGTTGATTGTTTTTGTTGTCCTCCTTTCATAGTTGTTGGTTTTTTTGTTCTCCAATTGGTTTGGAAAACCAAAAAAGTAAACAAATTTGCTACTTCCTTTGTAAATTAATAACTAAATTCAGCTCTTTCTAAATCATATTTCTTCAACAAATCTAAATGTGTTATGGAACTATATTTTAATTTTTAGGTGGTGAGCAATTATTTTTTAATAATTTAACTTAAAAGTAATTGGAGCAAATAGCTGAAACCTTATTCAACGAATTTTTAAATATAATTAGTAATCTAAAATTTACTTGAAATTTAATTTCAATTTGTTATACTGTTCGTTGGGTGTGTTGGTAAATTATCTATACCGTTCCCAAAATATAAATTGGCAAATCATTTTTGTTTGTTTTAAATACAGTTCTGAATTCGTTAGTTTTCATTTTCTTGTTTTTTTCACCTTTGTCTCTGTGCATTTTCCTAGTTTGCCGGTGCTCCGACTTTTTTCACGCCAACTTCTTTCTTTTCATTCTCATTTAGCCCAGCTCTAGACTACAAGCCACTCCTTCCACTTACCGCCCACCCCGCCACCCATTCTCATAAACGTTTACGTTCTAATTGAACAAATGCCGCTCAGTCGGAGTCGCCAACGTCTCTTTCTGTCTTTCTCTTTTCTCCGGCTCTCCCTCTCTCGCCAATTAGCTGAAACGTTTGCAATTTTCCAACATCCAAGACGCGCTATGCTTTGATGATAATGAAGGAAAATGTGTGTGATTGTTGTTTTCCTGAAGCACAGTGGAACTTTTATTACAACCTTATCTCTTAAATCATGTTTTTCACACGACATTGTATGCGATGGGCATATGCCAGGCATTAACAAACAAAAATTATGAGAGTTGAGGCTGTAGATTATGAAGTTTAAAACGCGAATTCTTTAGACAAAATAGTTAAAGATATACCTAGTTATATTTCTTAAAATCTTTTTTTTTCGTAAAGTTTATTGAAAGATTTGCTTTCAAATAATAAGAGAATAAACCATTTTCGGTTCCTGGTTTTAAGAGACTACTAATTGTTGGTAGGAAAGTTCCACTGTAATTTTGGTAGTTAGTTGTGCCGAATCCATCGACGCCAACTGCGACGTCGACGGTAACTTCATCGGATTTGATTGATTTGCATTGCCGGCTAGACCTGGTTTAGTTTCTATCTCTCTTTCTCGCTCTCTGCTCCGCACTTCTCACTTGTGAGGTTATTGCTTTTTATTGTTGCCACATTTATCTGTCTCCTTGCACGTTTTTCTCGATTATCTAAACCGGGTGGTCAGCTGAGATGGCAGCTGCTCTATGCGTCACTCCCTCAACAAGCTTGCTATGCTCACACTCATTTACATTAATTAAATAAAGCATTTCAAATGCAGCGGCAAATTGTTTGACAATTTAATTTCGTTTTACTGTTTGACTTGGCTCTCCAAACGATTTTAATTGCCAGCAAC